CTAGAAACCTAAGCGGATCAATACATTTCCAGTGTTTTATCATTTAAATAATGACTAATATTATAACAGCATTTTTTTCAAACGTTCCTATAGAATTTTTTTGAATTTACATTTTCTTTATATACTATGAATGTTTTCTGGAGTTTTGTTGTAAAAACCATAAAGGATACTAATTATTCTACGCAGTCTAGTTGTGCGTAGAATATATTTATGTTAGCTCCTAGTATTTATATCACAAAAATTTCTGTCTTGAAAACTCATTCTTATTTATAAGGACATACGTTTTATTTATTTGTTTATTTATTTCAAGTATCTGAGTAGTAACAGTCAATATTTTTCTTTCTCTGAACAAATTTCTCAGTGATTTCCTTGTTGCTTTTGGATGTGAAGACAAACGTTTTAATAATATTGTTTCGATGATTTATTGTTCGGCCATGCTTCGGACTGTTCCAAATCTTAATCATAACCGAATATTTTACTTATTCTCCATGATAAATTATTGTTAGTAACATAATCTGTTATTAGTAGCAAATAGTAAAAATAATTTCATCCGTTATTATAAGATGTTTACGTTTTTGAAGTCGACCTTAAGAACACTTTTCATTTGCCTTATCTGAATCACTTTGAACTACAGCATATTAGGAATCGTTACTCCTAAATTCCGAACACATCCTGGGAGAAATGCCAGGGCTAGGCCAAGTATCAAGTTGAAGGTCCACGAAGCTCTAAATGTATACGAGCTTATGGTCCGATATTTAACTCATACGATACATTTTTTTATGTGAAAAGTTTCCAAACGAGCACACGGTTCACCTCATGTTAAGTGAATACCGCCGCCCATGGACATCTGCTACGGGTTACAGATGCGTTGACAACCTTTTGAAAATTGGGCTCCGGATACCTCACTCAGCAGACGAAACGCGAAAGTATTTGTCATACTTCCATTTTACGCTGGTCTTCTGTGAGGTCGTGGTACTTACCCGGATGGGCCTGCCCATTCGTGCAACAGCCGAGGCTGCTGCGTGGCCTTACCACCGTAAAATTTATTCCGTATTCTCCGCTATCAGGCCACGAATTGCGTTGACGAGATTGCTCGATCAAACGCTGTGAAAAATTCGTCTCTTCCGTGGCTATTACAGAAATTATATAATTCAAGTTTACAACCGGCGGGCCTTCAACTTTGTTTTATGGCTGAGCTTATTGACGGTATTAAATTCGCATTCGGAAACGTTTTCGTGCTTTTGACCTTATATATTCATCTCATCAGTACCTGCCGTAAAAACATTGACAAACATCCTGGTCATTGTATCTACAAACGCAAGGTATATTACGATAAGTAACAATCCTCGGGGATTCGATGTCTCTTTTCTATCAATTCTGAATCTGCCATTCCGAATTATTTAATTTTATACTCAGTATGCACAGAAAAATATTAAACACAGACTACATATCTCAAACGCTTTAAAATAACATTAGATGATAGATGAAGTATTTAAAGACAATTATTGCACGTGGTATTACTTGACAATGTTAGGGCTGAAAGATTTACTATTTATTTGTTTGTTTCACCTGAGTTTTCTGAACCATCAATAGAAAAAAATATCAAACTTTGTACCGTAGGAGGTAATGTCTCTCCTGCGTATAGATACAAATATATGTTTTATTTGTTAACTAATTTATGTACCTTGGATGTTTTTAAATATAATATGAGGTGTCTTTAAGGTCATTTCAGTTGTGTGGCTATATAATATTTAGTATTAAAACGATTTTTACTCAATCGGTTCCCTGTTTTATTAATTTCTATGACTTGTTCACATTTATTTGTTTCCAATAGTGATCGTAATAACCGTGAGTTTATCTTTCGCAGCGTGAAGTTAATCATAATCATGCAGAAGTCAATCTTACGCAGCGTGGAGGACTCAACAGTTTCCTGTGTCAATTACAGGCCCGAGCTTAGACTAAAACTTTGGCTGTGTGATAATACCGTCTTTTAGCAAACTTTGATAGTCGATTAGTGACCAGTTGTTTTTATATACTTTTTCTCTACTAAATATAGCGTGTGATAGTGCGTGTATAGTAGTAGTACGGGTCGACGTACCTCGTTATCATTTCGGCACAGATTCCTTGACCCCTCCGCCCCCCCGTGCCGCGCCACCCCGCCTCTCGCCCACTTCTATCTTCTGCGCTCTCCCGTGCCTCGGCGCATTGTGAGTGCCCTTTTGTTTTATTTTCTTTACAATGACGCTATCGCCGTTGTAATTAAGGGCTTTGTGCGTTGCGGAGCTTTCCTCTGGCCCGGATCCGAGCGTGATTTACGCTCCGCTCTTGATTTGAGGTAACCGGTAATTCTGTGTGTTCTTTTAAAAGGCGTGAGGCGGCCGTAAACGACGCCCAGTTAGATACCCACCGATGGGTTCGTCACGTTACGTCACTCATATAAATACAGGAGTATCATTTATGGGGTCGCCCGAGAAAGCTTCAGGGCTTTATTGTGCAGTACTACCGACGTCGTCATATTAGGCGTAGAGCGATTTAAGAATGAAATGTTGATTCTAAATGTTGCTTATCTGTTTTGTTGTATTTCTCATTCTTGTGCATTTTAATTATATCAGTTTGTAGTCAAGCTTCTGCACTCAACGCAACAAAAGCGGCAATTTAGCGCACTTACTGATTTTATTGTTCTGCATGCAGCAGTTATTTCTGAAGTATGTGTTCGTGTTTTAATGGGTCACATGACGTTAGCGAATTTATACATCGTCCATTGCTGATTTATTTGGGTTCTCACGATACAGGCCAGGCCTAGTGTGAGGACCACAAGTTACATCTTGCTTTGTCTAGTGCTGCAGTCCAAATGTTTCTCTTAATTTGATAACTGTAAATCTTATATTCAAATGTATATTGTTACTTTGGACTTCAATAAACTTATTATTATTATTGTGGGGGATATTCATTTGTTTCCTCGTCTGGTTGGGTTTATAAATAAAAATAAAAATATAGATACATATTGCATATATAAAATAAATATTATGGATAAAAATAAACATATACATATAAATGTTGTATATAATACATATATAAATAGGACCCAACCAGACGGAAGCCCTCGGCAGGGGAGACCGTCTGGTTGGGTCCTATTTATATATTATTATTATTGGGGGGATATTCATTTGTTTTCTCGTCTGGTTGGGTTTTTATTATTATTATTATTATTAATGTTTATACAAGAAATTCCGAACGTTAAAAATTATTACTTCCAAAATTAAAGATTTCGTGTTTAACCTTGACGGATTACAGAGAGGAGGGTAAAAATTGTTAGCTGTATCATCATACTTTTCTAATACCAAGAAGAGCTGACCTCTACTGGGCCGTAATAGTTACTGGGAATCGAAACATTTTCGCGTTCCTCAATGTGGCTCGATACAAACATTGACCATTGACCTTCAGTTCTAAACATTTCTGATAATTATTACAGTGTGCGGGTTCAGTGCCGGCCCGAGTTTAGACGAATTTGGGCAAAGGAACCGTTTATCACCGTTGTAGAAGTTAACTGTTCTAATTTGGTTATGCAACGCTTTGCGATCGGGCTGCTGTGAGTCAACTTTCTCGTGGGTTGAATATATCGCTATTTTGCTCTGCATATGATTGGTATCGATTCAAGTTATCTATACATATAATAAAAATGAAACCGATGGTTATCTGGTCATGAAAAATATCTGAGAAAAAGTATTTATGTTAGAAAGAATTGGGGTTCTTTATCAACGCATTAGAACCCAAAACAATGATTGTTTAAATTTTTTATCTGTTTATCATGGATCTGTTTATCTGTTCATTATGGTTTTCTGTTTGTCCGTGCGTTTGTGCGCACTAATCTCGGAAACGGATTAACCCATTTGGGTTCGAGTTGGACTCCCAGGTTTCCGTAGGTACTTTTTAAGCACGATATAATATGTAGTACAAGCGGGCCGGGCCGGGGCGAAAAGCTAGTATTTTATATAGTTACAACAAAATAGATATTTTTTGTTAATTATTTTAAGATAAGTAAACTTTTGTCATTTAATTTAACCATGATAGCTCAGTGTCGGGGCGTTTGCTTTTAATATATACGTATATAGTTCTCGAAAGATATTTCAGTAAGCACCGGCACGAATAGAATTTTAATAGCAATTTTGCATGCCGCTTTACCACGTTTAATGGCGAAGGAAAACATCGTGAGGGACTGGGGAGTATTCATAAAAATCTAAGACATGTCAAGTCTACTAATCAATCTTTGTCTACTAATTCTCTTGCGCGGGGCAGATTCTAGTAAATACCAAGCAGTGAGACCTATTTATTGTAACTTGGACATATATCCCCGTATTTTATCCAGCTACGCGTTGCACTAGATGGAGTAACGGCCTGTACGTGAAATTGATGGGTGCAGGAGGCGCAGGATCAATCACGCTCCGCGCGGGAGGACTATATTCAGCAGTGGACTGTAACAGGATGAAATGATGATGAAGATGTTGCAAGCTATTTTTTTATGTGAGAAGGTGGCAAGCAATCTAGCGGTTTACATGATGTTAAGAGATAACTTCCGCTCATGGACATTTGCAACACCCGTAGGGTTGCAGACGCGTTGCCTTTTAATATAATGGGCCACAGCCACCTCACTCAACACTTCTACTTCACGCCGGTCTTCTGTGAGTTCGTGGTACTAACCTGGACATATGAACCATTCAAAAAGAAATAAATAGGTCGCTCATGGGACAAAGTGTGCGCATGTATAATAAAATCCCACAGTCGATATTAAGCCTGCCGCTTGACTAATTTAAACGTAAAATTAAAAGTCAACTTATGGCTAAAGCATGCGGAATATCGCGAAGACGCCAATATGTGGAGTTAATACTGTTGATACTCACGTAGGCTAGGATAAGACTGAATATTAGTGGACTGTAAACGCGTGAATTGACGATGACGATGTTGCAATTACTTGGGTAAACTAACTCGCCGCCTGGTTGCAGGGTGATGGTGCCGTGATGAGTGCGCGGTGGTTGGTAGCGGCGCTGCTGGTGCTGGGCGCCGCCTGCGAGCCCAGGGCCCCCAGGGCGGACACCCGCCCACGGCATTGGCAGCGAGGCGCGCGCACCCTGGACGACCGCGCGCCCAGCCAGTTCGTCGGGTGAGTGAATTTCTTTATACGACACAACGTAGGCGTCTCCAAGACAAGAGTGAATAGGTTTCTACTGAGCTAGCACGCTTACCATCGACGGCTGCATAGCCACTTACCATCAGGTGGGATGGCAGTCAAGTGCTGGCCAGTTTTGAATAAAAAATACGAAACAATGGTGACGATGTATCTCGTACGAACGATTCAAACACGGAATTATTTGTGTGATCCCTGTTTGGTCGTTTTTGTGCATAATTTGTGCTCGTAAATTCAAGTTTGTGACGTCTACTGCGATACGTCATTTTCTATTTGCGAAAGGCGTTTTATTTAAAATTAAAAAAGTAATATGAATGATATTAACAATTCATTATTTGATAGATAATAGGACATATCTTCGCGTTGCCTTTCTTTATCCTTTTACTCTTGCCTCTGTCATTGACAAGTTTTATTTGTAGCGATCGAATTATTTTTGTAGTCATTGAAAACACAGCTTTACTTTCTTATTTACGTCATAGCATGTATACGTAGTTGTAACTTTCAGAAGCGTGTTTGTTATTTTGTAGTTAATACAACTCTATTTTAAGACGCCGATGTAATTAAAATTAAAGATGTGGGGCATCAATGTATTGCAGCACTGCGATAGTGTCTCTTTGCTAATATCTGAGAACCGCCTTTGTCACTCTTGTTCGTGTTTACTCTTATATATATATATATACTAAAATAAATTCAATTCTTGTATTTTATTTATCACGTACTTTATTTAGTGTATCTTTAAAAAAGCATAATAAATATACAGGCGCTTAAGGGCGACACGGTCGTAAAATTTGTTTTGCAGAATAAATGGTAGTAAACGAATGTGATGTTTTAATAAATAACGCGCATGTCCATACTACGCGACATTTAAAAATTGTTCCGATTTACATTATCCATACTAATATTATAAATGCGAAAGTAACTATGTCTGTCTGTCTCGCTTTCACTCCAAAACTACTGAACCGATTTAAATGAAATTTGGTACACAGATAGTCTAGAGCCTGAGAAAGGACATAGGTTATTTTTTAATTGGAAAAAAGTGTTGTAACGGGCTGAAAGATATTTAAGGGCTTCAACGCGAGCCAAGCCGCGGGCGAAAAGCTAGTATGACATATATAATGTGACAGATGATACAGAAACGGAAAGAGATGGCAATGTATAGAGTTGCAAACTAATTACACCGATTGGCGTACTTTGAGTGCCTCAGTTTCGGTGCGCTAGTGTCATATCTACTTCGTATTTGTTTAGAATATCATTGTAGCATACCACAAGTCATTTGATAATTGTCAAAATCACAAATCACTTGGTAATTATCTAAAATATTTCCTATTACTTTTTATCACGAACTCTCAGACCGGTTTTCGATTGCACTTGATATTAATTGGGCCCTTCGGGCCGTAAAATCGGCGCCAAAGATTATAATAATTCACATCGCTGTCAATGCAACAATTGTTAAAACGTGTATTTAAGTAACGAAACTAGAATACGCGTTTAAAATGCGACGTGGGTGTAGCTACTGGTAGTATAGCGAATGGTAGTAATAACGATATAAATCATTACTTCGGCTGAATAACAAAACGTAATTATATAAATTATCTGTGCAATTATACATGGCGGGAAATTTTATTTGTCAGTAAATAATAGTGGCTTGTAAAAGGTATACTTATTTGGAATGTTATCACTATTATTACATTGGTTATTAAAACACATCATAATAATTTATTCTTATGTTATCTTTGCTGTTGATGGTTGATACTTTAGCTAGATAACATATTAGACTTTCTCAGAAATTTAAAGAGATATTTCCCTTGTATAATAAGTTTTGTTTTAGTTTTCTTTTACAATGTAAGGGTAAGATATTCAAGAAATGTTTTGCAGCTTAAACGTACAAAATTTTCGGTTCATCGCCCAAAAGCCTAACAAACTACACCTAAAGTCATATTTTGTGTATTATTTTAATGTGCTACGACGTAACTATTGGGTACTGTTGTAAGAATTTAAATTGTTTATTATTTACAATTATTGAGCATGTAAAATATGAAAATTAAGCACACCGTTCTATCATTCTCTCACGTGACCAAGAATCTTGTAAAGCATTCAAATCAAATCAAAACAAGTCAAATCATATATTCATCGAAATAAGAAACATACATTTCATCTACCCATAATCACATTGAAAAGCCGGGACTTCGTTCAAAATAATCCGTAAAATACTCTTATTGAATAATAAGAAAGTTGGTATTTAAGTGTTTTTGTTATCCAATTGCGCCGCGACTGCTTAACGGATTTGGATATAATTTTGAATTTCATCCTGTAAAAATACAAGAACTACGAAGGTGGAGTCACGGGTTAAAGTTAGTCATGAATTCTATATTTTGTAGCAGGAGTGGAGGTCTTGGCGCGTGTTGGCCATCTTTTCGCAGGGAGCTTGTCTTTGACCGGTAGTTTTGTGTACAACTGTCGGTGCTTCGCTCCATAGTTGACGCATGCAAAGTATCTGCCAACCTGTCGTGACAGGCGCACGAGGAATGTGTCGCGTTGTGGTGCCGGCCTAATCACGGGTACATCGCTCCTAGGACGTGCGGCGAATGAGCCCTGCGGACTCTGTCTATCTAATGCTTTAATATCCTATCTATTCATTGCCCATACATCGAGGCTGTGAATGCTGTCACAATGACTCATATTCTAATTTGATTCCTCCTCATTTCTATTAATCTAAAACTCGTTGTCTGTTCTTGTTTTTTTGTAGTTTGTTTTTAAATAAATATTTCAGGACATTTTTACACAACGTTGTATAGTACCAAACTCAGCAATGATTGCACTATTGACTACTAAATATCTTATATTAAATTAAACTATTTTTCTTTAGTCAATCAATACATCCTTACTATCCTTACTTATTTACTAATATTATAAAGGCGAAAGTTTGTATGTATGGATGGATGTTTGTTACTCTTTCACGCAAATACTACTGCATGGATTTTAATGAAACTTTACAATAATATAGCTTATACATCAGAATAAGACATAGCTATAATTTATACTGCACGACAGGTTGGCAAAGACAGATATGCATACACTTTTATGCATTTCTGTCTTTCTGTCTGAACGTTACGCCTTCCTACGCCGCACATTCTACGCAGACGTAGTTGCGGGCAGCAGCTAGTATTTTAAATAAACATCCAGATTACAAGAAAAATTAGAAAAAAAAACCACGCTTACCACAATATTCCTCCAGTAGAGAAGATCGAACCCACACTCTAGCACACAAGACAGGTCACTATCCAATATGCCAATCGGGTCGTTGACATATATTATTGAAGTAATATTCAGCACAATATATGGAAGTTAACTTTTTAATATTATTAATATTTGCTCCGATTTTATTTTGAACATATTTATTTATTGAAAAGTTTATTGTTTACACCTCAACTTAAGGCTAAACAAAAGGAAAACTTAATGCTAATAAGCATTCTCTTCCAGTCAACCCTGGGAGTAGAGAAAGTTTATATACATATTATAGATAATAAATAAAAATATCACGAACAAATAAATAAAACTGGGAACTGAATTAACATAACACCCATCACGAGCACTTCATGTCCGGTTGCAGGATGCGGCACGATATTGCATTAACCAGTCCAAACGCTAAAGATTCCGTATCTAATGATGTATAGATACCATTCGATTAATCGATACTCTCCTCGCTCGCTGCGATTAAATACAAACATAATTTATTATACACTGTGTACTGAAGCTGCCATTACTCGGGATATGGTATCAGATAATATAAGGTCCGATTATGTAAAGCCGATTCTTGTCAATTAGCGTTAATGAGTACTGCTTTTGAATGGACCAGATAGGGTTTAACTGTACAAAATAATTAACTAAGCCCCTCGTTCAATCGTCTTTTATTTTTAAATAATAATGGACTGCCTTAGTTGTTTGAAGTTTCGTTCTTCGTCTACATCGTAACACTCTTGGCAAAGTGGGACCCTCGCAAAAGAGACGTCGGAAAAATGAATTCAAATTCGGACTAGTCATAACAGAAGTGCTCCATGGTAGGTTTGTCTTATATTGAGATAAAAACAATGGGCATTTAATAAATGCTCAATGTTAACGTAAATAAAAGGAGCCATGACCCAAAACAATGGGCGTGATAATAATGTACTGTAATGTAGTACGTAGGTAACTCGACTCCTTGCTAACCGCGAAAAGTCACGCTTGCGTAATTTTCATGCTTGTAAATTCGGGAGTCCGGAGGCGGAACTGATGCGAGGACCAGAGGTCAGTTAATTGGAGCAAGCCCCGAGGGGTCGATTCGGTAATTTCAAGCACTCCCTATTTTTGTTTATATTAGAAGGATTCCTTTTTTTTTGTCTTTTTCTTTTTTTTTAACGTTGCCCTCACTTTAGGTTTAACAAACATAAATTTCACGTGGACAAACACCCAGATGCGGAACAACTATCTGTGGGTCACACAAATAGTTCTCCCGTGTGGGAATCGAACCCACGACCCCCGACGCCGAAGCCAATACCTTGGCAATTGCGCCACGGAGTCTACGCGTCTTCGATTCTCAAAAACAATAACTAATTTGGAGAGTTTCCACTATTTGAGAACTCAGACAGCGCTATAGTTTTTAATAAATGGCCTTTCAAAGTTTACATTCATTTTCGAAAAGGATTTTAGTGTAGACACAATAATAATACACAAAACTTTTGAAAGTATTAGACATGTTGTAAATTAGATTGTTATTTATATGTTTGAATTTTAAAGTCTATCGCGTCACCGTGAAAGTTTTCAAAATTCGGGAATTTAAATTTTTTGAATTTCATTACTGGAGCTTATCTCTAGTACTTCAATACGAGTAGATAATATAAAGAAAAGATAGAAAAGGTAAAGCGTTTATACAACATTGGAATTATTTTAAAGCGTTATTTAAGTTTATAAATGTAAGTTTTTTACCGACTTAATGTGTTCACCATCTAAAAATACATATGGAAATCTATTATCGCTTGGTAATTATATAGTTACAATAACCAACGCTTCAGTCTGCCCCGTGACCCCTGAAAAGGGTTCGAAACGTCGGGAATTTAAAAAAAATGGTATAAATCAGTCAAAACAGTTTCATTTACAATGTGTAATAGCGTAAATTTAAGAAATTATCATATGTTATCTAAAACTATATTATAATATATCGTTAGCGGCCACTGTTCTACACACTGCTTGTTTTGCAATCATTTATTTTACCACCACATGATTTGCCGTGAAGCAATTTGCTCGGTGTTTTAATTTATTGACCTTATTAGCATAAATTCGAGTTAAATTTTACATGAATTTGTTTCGTCGTTATTCGGCACTTCACAATTGGATGCAGCATCGAGGGTGATGTTTGCACAAGTGTTTTTAATTAGGTCATGGAAATTTCGATTTCGTTGCATTGACGAATTTCATGGAGACTGCGTTAATGAGCATATACTTAAGTAATATTTTGTTTAATATATTAAAGTAATATTCTTTGTATGCCTCCGTAGTACTACGATTCTAGCCTAATGCACTAATTGTAGACTTCTTACTAATGAGGGGTAAAACGGTTTTTTTAACGTGACAATGCGGCAAATGACCTGGCGGTCCACCTGATGTAAGTGATACCCACCGCCCATGGACATTTGTGTTGCAAAAGCTGGCAATGCATCTGCAACCCCGCACTCGTGGGCTTGCAGATGCGTTGCCACCTTTAATGTGGACATCACTCACCAGGCAAAACGCAGAAGCATGACACTTCCACTTCAAGCTGGTCTTCTGTGAGGTCGTGGCACTTACCCGGACGAAAGTGCCCATTCGTGCAACAGTCGGAGCTTTTTCGTGGCCCTACCACAATTTTAGGTGTTTCAGTAAAAGTGCTTAAGGGAGGCGAAAAGATCATTCGTCTTTATATTTGTATTTGTTTTACATTTTACATTTGTTTTACATGATTATTATATGCTTCTAACTTGTAAATTATATTGACCTATTTCAAAATTCAATAGATGAACACATATTGAAATAAGAAATATTTTTTTACGAGATATTTGTTATAGCCACGTAGGTCTCTCATCCTTTTAATTAATCTGTATTGAATTTTTACACAAAACGGTTTTTGGTCTTTTTATTTAATAGTACCTGGAGGACCTGGTAAATCATGTATTTTGGAAATAAAAAATGTAAAAAATAAAGAAAATGATCTGGTATAGAAAAAAAAGTAAAAAAAAAACAAGTGTGTAAATGGTCGTGATACGAACCGCGGCCGCCTGTTTTGGGGCCGCGGTTCGTTATTACTAAATTTCATGAAAATCGCTGGAGCCGTTTCCGAGATTATATATATATATAATCTCGGAAATAATTGCATATATATATATATATATATACATATATATATATATATATACAAGAATTGCTCGTTTAAAGGATAAGATACTGAGCTATTTCCAGAGGTTTCCTTACTAGTGTTTTAGTTACAAGTTCCGAATGAGTCAGCTTTTACGTGACCACCTCGACTAGTGTTTAAAGTCCTTGCATCCTAATGGCCATATCCGCACAAATACACGGTGAGCTATTTGACCCACTGGGACATGAATTAGTTGACTAATGATGTTAAGAGCCGTAACAAATCGTTCTGCACGCCTCAACATTGTTACAGCCGGTCACACGGACAATTACAAGGACTTCAATTTTAGTTAAAATAGTAAAAACTGATAGTCTCTAAAAATGATACCATTTTCATTGTCTCATTTAACTTACGTGTTTGAAGATTCTTAGAAGAAATACCTCAATAATTAACAGAGTTTTTTTACAAGCGGTTGGTATGAAATAAAGTTATAAAAATAATAACTTAAATAACTGAAACAATGTATTGCGTACATATCAATTGTTTAATATTTTATTGTATTTACACATAAAAAACGGATTTATGCTTTTGTTTCCATTAAATCATTGCCCTTACTTTTGGACAATATTATCCTGTACTGTAAGGAAGTTTTACAAACATTAATTCACGTGGACAAACACCCAGATGCGAAATAATTATCTGTGGTTCACACAAAAAAGTATTCCGTGTGGGTATCAAACCCACGACCCCCGACGTCGAAGCAAATAAATACCTTGGACTCTGCGCCACGGAGTCATCAAACAGATGGATAAAGGTCCATAATATTTTAGCCAGGAACAGAACAATAAAAAAGGCAATCCTGTTGTTCCAAATATCTAACTAGACTTAAAATATTATAAGGTTAAGAAAAAAAAAATTCATTTTTTATTTTTCACAACTAAACAGTGCTCGTGAATGAAAAAGCAAAGCCTGGTTAAGCGCGTACCGGGCCTGGGATATCATAACGATATGTCTTTGATCGAAGATATTATAACCTCAGTATTAAAAAATGAATCAGAATTAAATAGACCATTACTTTGAGTAAATTTTCGATTATACATTATAATTTAACTTTTCGTTACCGAAATCTAACACAATTGTGCAGCATAAATGCTGCATATGTGCTCGAGCGACACGTGAGTTCAATCCCCGATGCCGGCACAAATGAAATTGTTAAAGTGAAAGTGAATATAACTATTAAAAATATTTCGAAGATATGTGAAGTCCGCCAAGCCGCAGTGGGCAAATTCGCAGTGGGACGCATTAGACTGTTACTTTAATATTTACTGAAATTTCTATATAAGGGAATTTAAAAAATATGTAATTTATGATAATACCTTACAATCAACATCTAAAAAAGAAAGTTACTGATTCTCCCTAATAATAATATTTGTACTCGATTTTTTTGGGTAAATGTTTAATTAACATTTAAATGTTCAATACGGGAAAAAAAAATCCAGAACATTTTGGCATTACATTCGTAAATAAATTTTAATCCCATTGATATTATTAACGTATTAAAGAATCTGATTATGAATTTTGTTTAAAGAAAAGAGAAAAGCAATAACTTACACTTTATTTAACAAGCATCATATACGAGTAATATATATTTATTCATGACAATTTTTCATCATGAAATTACGCAGGGTAATTAAAAAAATAGTTTTACGAGGTTACATCAGTGTTTATAATTAATCATTTTAATGACATGGATGTCTGGTCAAGAACAAAAAGAGCTGTGGCATCTGTTGGCACTTAATAGATTATAGCGTTTGAGATAAATAATGTCCGAGACATGTGTAGCTTAGGCGTATGACATAGATTTGAAAATATTTTGGGCTTTAATTTCAATTAGAATAGAGATTACGGGACGGAGTTTTCAATTTTTTCTAAATTTTGTCTACTTTAGAATAATGATAAGATACAACTTAGTATCTAGGACATATTGTAAAAAAGTTGTGTTTAATCAAATTTTAAAGTAATTAAGAGTATAACTGAGTTTATACTAGGAATACGAGTTGAATTGTCTTTGAATGATTTTATTACTGACAACAAACCTGTTTGTAACTTATAGTTGCATTTATTTTTCGTCTTATATTTTTCTCACAAACATAATTTAGAATTATCTCTTTCTTACTCGAGCAAGTAAAAATCCTGGTGCCGGGAACCAATGTATTGAAAATTCAAGTGCTGAGAAGAAAATTCTGGTGCCGGGAACCAATGTATTGAAAATTCAAGTGCTGAGAAGAAAATTCAACTTATCACGTCGCTGACACGTGAAGGAAACATCATGACGAGTATGAATATAATATTCTCGAAAGAATAACAAAAAAATGTATCTCGAATATATGTATTGTGAGGTCAGCCAATGAATGCCAGAGAAAGCTTTTCCCAGCAGTGAGACATTTACTGACAGTTTGAATTTACTTTAAAGTGACAAAAGTAATACAAACTTAACATCTGTAATAATTATTGTTTGTATAACCTACAGAAATTAGAGTGATAGCTCAGAGTCCGGCGCTCGCCTTTAATTCAATATACTCGAGCAACCTGAGTTCGATCCCCGGTGCCAGCACCTATGAAATTGTTAATTTTAAGTGCTGACTTTATCACATGCTCAACGGAGAAGGAAAACATCGTGAGAAAACCTGCATATTTTCGAAATAACAAAAAGAACATTTCGAAGATATGTGAAGTTCGCAGTGGGGCTGCGTGGTGGACTATGCCCTGATACCCTCTGTAAAAAAAGAGGCGGCCTTTGCCCATCAGTGGGATATGTATAGGCTGTTACTTTACTTTTTTCACTTTACTACAGAAATTGTCGTGGTAGATCTAGAATCATATTCTATCAAACTGAAAGAACATTGTGATCAAAGTTGCTTTTCTGTTTCAGGCCCCACGTCTGTCGGAGTCGCAACAGCACGCATTGCTGCCCGGGCTGGTCTTCGAGGCCCAACTCCTTACTTTGTGTCGTCCGTGAGTACAGGCGTCGTTAATTGAGCCCCGATGATTGAACATTGCAGCTATTAAACTTTATGGTGTCCGAGAAGGCAACGCAATGTACTCGTATACCAGCACAAGGAAGGGAACGCAATATATACCAACTGTGTAATCATGAGCGCAATATACCTAATTAGTATTGGGAACTTGATTGAAACATCCCTAGTGTATTAAACATGAATTACTCGTAGACTTAATTTTTAGTACTGAGTGAAAATCTGTAAAAGGTCGCTTGTAATTCGGATTCATCCCATTCTCGCGGCAATTGTCAGTTGTTGGAACAGATTCCGAAGTAAAACTTCTTTACGCACGCGTGACTTGGTCTTGCTGTCGAATGCGTGACGAGAGCGAATGGCGATCTTGTTCTTTTTGAGGCAGCTGAGTCCATGTCACGGCTCGAGCTATGGACCATGAACGCTTAAATGTATTCTTAAATCATTAATTTAATTTTTAGTTTTAGGCAAAAAAATCGCAACGATCGGTCATGTAATACGTAATAATTTTTAAAACAGTTACTTTTGAGGTCAGATTCAGTTATATATAAAAGAATATCAAATTTTGTATCTCTAGCTTCACAAATATTGTTATTTTGTTATAGTAATGTAATCACAACATCCTGCCAATAAATCAAATGCAATCATTATAAATACATCAGAAACCACGGACTTTAATGATTTAATCGTATTTGCTGTAACATGCCAAAGGTTGAAACAAACGTTAGAAGTGTGTCATCGCCATTAGATATTAAATCTATAAGCAAATCTCAATAGAGTAATGACTGAACAACAATGCGTTATAAGCACTAGACTTTTAAATCGAATTATACTACAATAAATTATAAAATTATTAGAGTCAAGATAACTCTGAAATCGAGATGAAGTATAGAATCAAATCAAATTACAAGAGCGTGATTGAAAATTTCCATGGCATAAATTAGAAATTTTTGGCCTCGATTGTGATTTACTTTCAGGTAGATCTTTATCTATTGCCATTTCAATATAGAAAAGTTAGATAATGAAATTGCATCCCGCTAACTTGACGTACGCAAGGTCAGACGGCTAATTGATGCGGCAACAGCCAAGCTTATTTTCCCATTTTCAACCGACTGCAAAGAGGAGGAGGTTCTCAATTAGACTGTATTTTTTATGTTTGCCATCTCAGAACTTTCAACTGAGCGAACGGATTTTGACGATTCTTTTTTTATTTGAAAGCTGGTGCTTCCCAAGTAGTCCCATATTAATTTCATTGATATTGTATCTTGGACTCCGGAGATACGCAGGGAACTCCTGAAAATCAATTTTAAAATGATAACAGAGCGAGATATTTGAAGACGGTCTTATTTGGTTAGTAGATAAATGGACTTCTACACTATAATGACGTCTTATGCGTTGTAGTGAGGACTCTCAATGCACATATAGTATTTTTACATTTCAAATTTTAAAGCAAGTACAATAATTTTCTATCGTTATTTTTTTTGAGAAGTAAAAGTTTTAAAAGCTACATTTACTGTACCATATATAGCGTACCAAATATTACGTGTGAACGCAAAAGTATCTGTTACGTATGTAAAGTTACAGAGTCCCATAGGACGCATTATAAGAAGAATCTAAAGCTGCCCAGCTTCTTCTTCGGTCTTCTTATATCTTCTTCTGCTTCGGTCTTCTTATATTGCGTCTTTATGGCGCGTTCTTCTTACAGCATAGTATTGAAAAATAGTTAAGTACTGTTTTATGATTAAGGTACCTGTTTTTTTCAGTGAATTTAAGTAAAGAAAAGGAAATGGAGGAAAAAAGTAAAACAGTCTTCGTTATTAATTGATATTTTGACTAATCAATTTAATTGCAGCTATATGCCGCCCGGACTGTGGCTCCCCTGGCTCGTGCGTGGCGCCCAACATGTGCCGGTGCCCTAATGGCATCGAGGCGCCCTCTTGCGGCAACGGGGGAGGATTCTATCCCTATCCCGGTAAATGCTTCTTTCTGTTCATCGCTCTTGTTTAGGTCCGTAAAAGGAGAATATTATTTGTGTAATTAAAAGTTGACGGTAACTTCATCGCTTATGCTGTTACGACCTCTATGAAAATAACCTAAGTGTATTTCTTTAGCACTTATCAAACATATCTTGTAGCTATGCAGTTAAAAATATTGTTTTCAAAACTAAGCCCGCTCATTTCACTCACCAGATGAAACTCGAGACTATGACCATAATTCCACGTTACGCCGGTCTTCTGTAAGGCCGTCGTACTTCTCCGAACGAGCCTGTCCATTCGTGCGACAGCAGAATTTCTTTTATGATTAATTTACCTGATGAAGAAGAAACGTTTGTGATAATTTCTGCATTCAAGATGAAACCTAAAATGTGAAATTTTGTACACTAATTGACTAAAACATTCAGCGCTGCAGTCTTCTGGCTTACGCTCCCAGAGACAATCCAAAATGAAGTAGTAAACCGTGCACGTTGGAAATATTAAAATTTTACGTAGTTGTCCCACTCTACGCATGTTTAGAGTTTAACGCTTAAAGTAAAGTAAAGTAACAGCCTATACATGTCCCACTGTTGGGCAAAGGCCTCCTCTATACAGAGGGCATCAGGGTATAGTCCACCACGCGGCCCCACTGCGGATTGGCGGATTTCACATATCTTCGAAATATTTTTTTTTGTTATTATTTCGAAAATATGCAGGTTTCCTCACGATGTTTTCCTTCACCGCGGAGCACGTGATAAGTCAGCACTTAAAGTTAAAAACTTCATTGGTGCCGGCACCGGGGTCCGAACTCAGGTTGCTCGAGTATATTGAATTGAAGGCGAGCGCCTGGGCACTGAGCTATCACGGCTCTCGGTTTAGTTTAACGCTTAATTTTCTTTAATTTCGGACCCTCAGTTCGGACCCGCGGCGGCTGTCGGCGCATCTGCATGAACGGCGGAACTTGCACAAACGGCACTTGCGCCTGCGCCCCCGGCTGGAGTGGGGAGTTCTGCACAGAGCGTGAGTATATTATACACTATCTGTCAGGGTTCATAAAGCGTATAATGACGGTCCGACAGTGAATGATCCTGTCAGAAATCAATTGAATAGAAGTTAAACTTAGTGAATCAGAGAAGTTGAGAAGTTAAGTAAAGACAAGCAAGAAAGAACAATTACTGAAAATTCATATATATAGATTGTAACGACACGCTGTATATACACACACAAAAACATAATTTTGTAAAATAAATTTTGAACGATTTTTTTGTTTATTTTCAATGTAATTTTTGTGAAATATTTATAAATTTGTTTGAGTTACCGTTTATTATCAGTTAAATGTATAATTTATATTTTCATTATTGCAATCCTTGGCACAGCATTAGGTAAATACAGTTTTTGTTTGAAGTATAACATCTTAGTATGAAGTCCACATATCAACCTATCACCAATCACCTTATTTATTAGTAATACATTATTAAAACCCTTTATAATTAATTATATTGAATTGATGAAGCTAATCTACGAATCAATAAGTCTCTTTACTATTGTTATTCCATGTTCACATTTTCAGCGATTTGTCGGGAGCCTTGTTTGCACGGCGGCCGCTGCATCGCCCCGGACAGATGCGTGTGTTTCCACGGACTGTCCGGCACGAGATGCGAGATCGATAGAAGAACAGGTGCGTATGCCAAACTTCATTAGTTATCGATTTGCTAAGAGAATGATAATGTAATTTATGTTAAATGTTTTAACGAATCTACTATCGACGCAATATTCCTTGTATAGGAGAGATAACTCGTGGGTAGTTAAATGCCCTTAATTTTTTAAGTAAAAAGTTGGTAAGCGATTCACCTGATGTTAAGTGATTACCAGTGATCACCGCCACCTAGGGTATATAACACGTGAGGTTGCACGTGTGCTGCCAATATTTTATTAATTAGACGAGCTACCTTGCTCACGAAACGCGAAAGTAATCAAACACTGGGATAAACGGGCCAAATTTTATAATACCCCAGGACCTTGCTACACGGACACGCGTGGAGCCCTGTGCACTGGCGCCCTGGAGGGAGTGGTGTGCACGAAACAGTTGTGCTGCGCCACTGTGGGCGTGGCATGGGGCCACCCCTGCGAGAGATGCGCGGACCTCGACTGCCCCACGGGACACCTGAGGAACCTCGCCACTAAAGAGTGTCAGGTCAGCTGGCGAACATTGTTTTCAATTCTGAACAAGATGTGTTAAGATACAATTAACCAATAGATGATTATGTGAAGTCCGCCAATCCGCAGTGGGGCCGCGTGGTGGACTATGCCCTGATACCCTCTGTATAGAGGAGGCCTTTGCCCAACAGTGGGACATGTATAGGCTGTTACTTTACTTTACTTTTTTTATTATACTTTAGACCTCAAGAGTGATTCGTTTTAAAGTTTATTATGAATTAGATGATCTTGTTTTTAAGTAACACCTGATGTCAAATAATAAACGCCGCCCATTGACGTTTTTAACACCCTTATGGTTGTAAATGCGTTGCCTATTAATAAAATGGACCCCGGTCTCACTCACCAGACGAAACGTAGAAGTATAACTCTTTCACCTCACGCCGGTCTTTCCGTTGCGCGGCCCTACCACAGGCTAGAGCTGAAATGCAATATTGTCAGATAGTAATACGCTTACATTACTGCATATCAAGGGTGTTCTAATCTATGCAATAAACGTCAGGACATCGACGAGTGCGCCGCTGTCCCCGGCCTCTGCGAGGGCGGACGCTGCGTCAACTCGATCGGGTCGTTCTCGTGCGAGTGCCCCCCCGGCCAGAGGCGCCACAGGATCACAAACAACTGCGAGGACATCGACGAGTGCGAGGACCCCGACATTTGCCCGGTACTGTACATAGAAAATAGATACAAGTATTGAGGATATTGACGGTATACCAAGGGGTACCGTTATGTGTGTCCAGAAATCAAGAATCCGAATCCAGAAAAGTATTTTTTTTTAGGAAGGAAGACAGAAAGGTAGACATTATGGATCTAATAATCAAGAGTGCCAATGGTATCAGATGAGAATTTAACTCTGTACTTCTGTATAGTCAGATACTGGCTATACAGTAGTAGACTTATACCTTGCTATATTCAGTCTTATATGCTGATTAATGCTGATGTTCAGAATAGGGATGGATAAGAAAGTTTATAAATACCGTACAATTTTCACAAGTGATTTTTTTCAAATTACCTTCGCAGATTTTTAATGTTATTTTTATCTTTTACAGAATGGAAAGTGTGTGAATACTGAGGGAGATTATTATTGTCTTTGCAATCCTCACTTCATACCAAGTCCGGACAAGAAGTTCTGTATTGGTGAGTACTAGGACCTATTACAGTAATATCTTCAATAAAAATGAAAAAGGTAAAAGGCAAACTACTAGAGAAAAAGAGAAAAAACTAAAACCTATTTGACCTAATACTACTGTACATACATTGCCTATCAAACTAACAGTACATGCTTTACGCAGATGGACGCGTTGGCAGCTGCTTCGCGTATCTGAGCGAGACAGGAGAATGTGGCGACAGGCTGCCGGTTCCATTATCGAACCGTGATTGCTGTTGCGGGTACAACATGGGCCGAGCATGGGGCGACCTCTGCGCACCCTGCCCCCCACGTGGATCCAGTAAGCACCTTTCTATTCATATGATTCTATTTTCTGTGTTACCTTTAAATGCTAGTCTACAATCTACAATTAAGGTGAATTTTAAATATGTAAGTAAACAAAATTAAAGTAACGGTTTATAAATGTTCCACTGCTGGGCAAAGGTCTCCTCTGTAAATAGGGTTTAGGGCATAGTCCACCACGCGACCCCACTGCGGATTGGTGGACGTCACATATTTTGGAATTTATTTTGTTTCTGTTAAATATGCATGTTTTATACATACATAAGTCGGCAATTAAAATTTCATTGGGACACCGAGCTTTCACAAATTCACATTTAATTATATTCTAACTTCGATGGAAATAATAGCTTTTGTTTCCAATGGGAGCAAGTTTAAAAATAAGAATGTTATAATACAATAACAAAAACAAGCCGTAGGGATATGTCCTGTACAACAGAATACTTTGATCAATGTAATTACATCGCAGCGGAATGGACCCACCTTTGCGGTGGTGGTTTGATACCGCCCGATTGGAGACGGAACGACACGAGTGGTGGTGGTATTGGTGGCGGTGGTGACACCGCCCAGCCCATCGCCAAGATCAACGAGTGCATGCTGAGGGATGGCATCTGCGGGCTTGGCGATTGTATCGATAAGGACATCGGGTATGGACACAAATACACTTACATGCAGCATATGAACTTTGCTCATGAAACATTCTTCTTTTTCCACAATGACAATATCGAACAATGTTACCCTTATAACTGTTTATATAAAAACAAATTTGTAAATTTTAGAAAGTTTCTCACAAGTCTAGGAAGACTATGAACTAACGAATGTATGAAATATAATTTAAGCAAGAGTGAGAACGCCGAGTGATTGATTTGTATTTCACTACATTAAAAGTTTCAACATGTTACAAAGAAGTGAGTATAGTAGCCGTGAGTACTCCTTCCAAAAACGAAATGAATTTGCCAGGTATCAATGCGAGTGTTGGGACGGCGCCGAGGCGGCTGAACAAGACGGGAACCCGACTTGCATCGACATCGACGAGTGCGCGCTCGAGTACTGTAAAGGAGGTAATTGCGTCAACAAACCCGGCGGCTTCGAATGCAGGTTAGTGCTTCACGTTTATTCTTTTAGGTATCTCTGTGCTTAATTTCCTTATATATATCGTCCAAGTTACAGTTTTTACATATTAATATAATTTTCTAAAGAACTTTCATTTTTAAAGAGGTTCTGGAATCCAAATTGGTTTTATATTAAATCACTTGTTAGCTACGGTTTCTTTCGCATTTCTCTCTTAAGCGGAAATCATAAAAGCAAACATTTTACATTATATTAGACAAATAATAGATTCAATTTAGAGAAATTACACTCACATTACAAACTGAATATAACTTCGTCGTTTATTTTCATTTAGGTAGTTGCTGTGTATAATAAAAATCTTTCTAGTAGTTCATCGCCGTGTACACAAATCTAGTTGAGATGAAAATGAGTTTCATTTAATGATCTATGATGAATCTCTTCGTCAGATGTCCGCCTGGTTTCGACCCCGTAGAGAACGGGCTGCGATGCAGCGACAAGAACGAGTGCGAAATGACCAATGGGGGAATGTGCACCAACGGAGTGTGCACCAACGTGGATGGCAGGTTAGTTGACATTTACTACCACATAATTCAGTATTGATAGTCGGGCTTTAAAGATGGAGTCCGTGTTTCCAAAAATTTAAATTTGTTTATTTTCATAAAAAAGATAATTAGCTGTGGGAAAAGAAACTGTCGACGTAATAAATAAATATTATAACTGGACTAAACACGGTTACGTACGAAAAATAACTAAAATTAGGTGAGCTTTAAGAATGTCACTTGTTACATTCAAGTGAAGCTTATGGGCTGCAAAATTTCAAATTATTTTAATATTAGATATAAACGAATCAAAATTTGAAACATTATTTATGCATTTTTTTTTATGAACTGTCGAGCATTTGACAATCAAACTTGATGGCCTGGCAATTTATAGACTTAAATATACTCCGCGAGTCTAACAAAGAAATCACAAAAAACATTTTTCTGCTATTATGCTCTGTATAGAGGAGGTCTTTGCCCAGCAGTGGGATATGTATAGGCTGTTACATTACTTTTACTTTATTTTTTATATTTATTCTATAAACTTCTGTCGGAATATATCTACCAAAAAATAGAGAAAAAAAAATCATAGTTCAAGCGAATACGTAGGCCATGCACGGCATGGTACCCCGGGCACGGATCCCGCGTGCCCTGTATGTGTATCCACACGCGCGGAGCATAGTCCAATGTGCCCCGGCCTCGGCGCAGCTTCGAGTGCACGTGCAACCCGGGCTACGAGTCGACGGAGACGGGGCACGCGTGCCGCGACGTGGACGAGTGCCGCGACAACCCGCGCGTGTGCCGCCGCGGCCGCTGCCGCAACACGCCCGGCGCCTACGAGTGCGCCTGCGAGCCGGGCTTCGCGCCCACCGCGGGCGGCTACTGCGCCGACGTGGACGAGTGCGCGGACGCCTCCGTGTGCCAGGTGCGGCCCGGTTTTTCCTGTGGGCAAAATAAAGTACTCGGAAAAATAGAGGGTAGACAAATTTTTTATTTTTTTATCCTCTCGTAGTTATACTTTTGTATGCTAGCACAGAGTTTTTCGCTGTAGCCTTACATTTTTGGAAGCTATCTTTACGTTCCCAATTTAAATAAAAAAGTACATAGTTTTTTTATCACAATGAAAATTTGTGAAAACACATTGATAAACACCGACACTGATCGAGACTCAAGGTTTAATAAACATATCAAACGAAAAATTATCACATAAGAAAAAATAAAGCGATAAAATTTTCTAGGGATTTTTTTTTAAATCGTATAATATAATTAACAGCAAAAGCTTCTAACTTGAAAACTTTCTGTTTTAACCTAGATTTATCGATACAAATTCAATAATTATTCACATACGTATGTACTTGCATTGTGTGTTTTATTCTATGCATCACAGTAAATGTTGAAAATGGAGTATTTTCACATAATTTATATTTATGCAAAAGTATATAGTATATTTGTCAAAAATAAAGTAAGATACGTTATCATGGCCGCCGGCACGAACGCTCCGCGGCGCGTATGCTCCCCGGCTCGTATACAACAGGCATGCTACTTTCGTCAGGGCGGGCGCTGCGTGAACAGCGAGGGCTCGTTCCAATGCGTGTGCGAGGCCGGCTACAGGGCGACCGCCGCGCGCGGCGCCTGCGTCGACGTGGACGAGTGCGCGGAGCTGCGCGTCTGCCGCAACGGCCGCTGCCGCAACTCGCCGGGCTCCTTCCGCTGCGACTGCCTGCCTGGCTTCACGCTCAGCAACGACGGCCGCACTTGCTTAGGTGAGCGTCCTCACAGAGTTTACGTCGGCGAGCTCTTGCTAGACTTGCGGAAACTGATGCTCTGTACTCAAGTGCCACTTGTCACCAAAATTGCCAAAGCGCAGCCTTTATTATTACCAGAACTAAGGTAATATAATTATATTACCCTAGTTAGTAAGTAATAGTCAATATTTATTGTGGTATTCAGATTATACAATTGGTTATGTTAATTGTTTTTCAGACGAGGTTCAAGATCTTTGTTACGAAAAATACGAAGAGGACCATTGTACTGGACCTGGCACAACGCCAGTGACTAGGTCGCAGTGTTGTTGCAGTTCCAGCAAAGGTATTAAATACTTAGAATGTAAACTGTATAAAATATAGTTATTAGTATTTTAAATAGAGTTATTAACGTATCGAAGTAAAAATGTAAAAAATAAAAAAATAAATTAAATGATGTGCTTAGCTCCTTGATGGTATAAATTCAATCTAATTTTAAGTTTCATAGAAATTATTAATTCATTTTCAGGTTTTAAATTGGGTTGGGGCGTTGCGTGCAAAGAATGCCCCAAGCAAGGCTCCAAAGAGTACGACATTCTGTGTCCGGAAGGTCCAAGTAAGGACAACGGTGGCGCTGATATCAATGAGTGTACGATGATCCCGGGAATTTGTCCACACGGCACCTGCGAGAACTTAGAGCCCGGATACAAGTGCATCTGCGACCCTGGATACCATCCCGATGCCGACGGTATTTGCAGGGATGTCGACGAGTGCGACATGCATCAGTCGGTACGTTGCCATAAATTTAATTCACTGCTGAGACATTCTGTTAGAATTTGTTATCTAGTGAAGTCAGGCAGAAACCTCAGCTTGATTAATGCCTTAGCTACGTGAATGAATCGGCTTGACACGCCAAAGAATCACTGCTTGAAATTAGTTCAGCGTATGCTTTACTGATTAATATTTCAGGTATATCAGTTTGTATAGTCCAGATACCTGACTTTTATGTGAACTTCTTTCTTGGTTCCTTAGATATAGTAGAACAAATTTTCTGAATTAAGAAATATATGTAAAATTTTACATAAATTTATGATGGTGGTGTGATGCCTATTATTTTTGAAATTTATTTTTACCTGACTGTGAAACGCAAAGGAGGGTTATGTATTTAACTATATATTTATAATATGACGCTTTACTTATTTTTAAATTTCCTTAGTGGCACTGAAGAAAAAGCGCATGCCCCAATTTTGTTTTTCTTAATCTGGCGACAACTATATGCCATATCCAAAAATATTTGCCACAACGCAATTGATTTTTTTAAATACGGCATTTGATGTACAGTAGTATGTTTTATTTATATTTAATAACAAGAGAAATTAAGAGTTCCTCTTTAGCGCGTTGTACTTTTCAGTATTGCACTGGTGGGCAATGTCGCAACACGATGGGCAGTTTCAATTGCGTGTGCCCACCGGGCACACGGTACGAAGCGGACGAACAAATTTGTCGGGACATTGACGAGTGCGAGGGTGAGCTACTTTTCATCGTCAAGGACTATGACAGGGGGGACATACCGCCAATGTTCCCAATGCTCACAGGTTACGGACCTTTGTGAAATGCATCCGATATCACACTGACCACCTACGGCATAAGCCTCTAACATTGCGCCGATCCCACCCCATTTTAGTCGCGCAACATACGCCTGATATCATGGGTACATTAAATCATGGGTTCCAAAGCAGTATATAATCGTCAATCGAGTTTTAACTAAAACGAGAAAATCAATACCATAATTAAATAATCGTTAAGCACAAAAGTTTCATATCAGTATGTTCTCCGGATTAACATTATCGAAAGTCGATTTCACTGCACTGCTCTCATTTTCAACATTCACGTAATCTAGATTAATACTGTCGATTGAAAGTAGATTGCCATGTTAAACTCGTTGGAAATGTTTAAAACGTCGAATGTGATTATATTAATTTACTCTATCCAATTCAACTAGAGGTTTATCTTTAACTAAATTGTAATTTAAAAAATGAATTTTAAGTTAGAACAGTTTTAGTTTTATGTTCGCAATTGATTTGTTTTATTCTCTATTCCAGTAATTACATCAGAATTGACGTTCATGTGTTGTTATTGTTTATTACAGAACAATCTAATCCATGTGATAATGGACGATGTATAAATACTCATGGAAGCTATGAGTGCGAATGCGAGCATGGTTTTGTTTTGGACGCTACGGCCCAACATTGCCTAGGTAAGTAATAAATAAAATTGCACATCTTAAAATCTTTGTATTATTTCTTTAAAGACATTAATGTCTGGTATACTTTAGAAATATTTAGTATCGTATTTATAATCAATTTGGACTTCTACAATTGGTTTTCATTATTTTCATGCCTCTGAGCACTTCAGTGATATTCATTACTATACAACGTTGATTGACACACATATTTCTAAAAATATACGTTAACGTTATTCTTGCTGGTTGGTAACGTAGATGTGCTATTTTACTCTCGGGAGAAGGCTAGTCGCCAAATACTCTTGAGGTGTTAAAAGCCAATCGAACGCAGACAACCGTCGGGGCTCGTGCTGGCGGCGGGCAGTGGACGGGCAGTGCGAAGGCGCCGCACCGAACACGCTGCTGCGTCAGGAGTGCTGCTGCAGCGTGGGCCTCGCCTGGGGCTCCCCGTGCGAGCCCTGTCAGACAGACGACTGCCCCTGCCCTAAGGGGTTCGCCAAGGTATCGCTCTATGTCCCAAACTATTGCTACTTACCCACTTGTCATGTGGTCTTATGAAAATTTTAACTATATCACTATCTGTCCCAAATTATTCCAACTAAAAAACAGTGCTAACAATATAATACGGTTTTATTCAAATTTATAGAAAAATAGACCAAAAGTCGACTTCGATGTAGAGATTAGAACTATGTTAACCTACTACAAATTTATTTATATTGAGTTTTTATAGTTCTATTATTTTTTTGCATAATTGTAGAAGCAATGAAGAAACATTGATGCATAACAGATTTAGTGATGGTGATATATCTAATCAAAAGTCAAAGTCAAAGTCAAATATCTTTATTCAATATAGAAGCATTCACTTACTTATTAATAGTCAAAAAACTCTACCACCGGTTCGGAAGGTAAGCCACTGACCTGAGAAGAACCGGCGTAAGAAACTCAGCGGGACATTATTTTTTTTTTACTTGCCAAAAAAATTACAAATATGTGTACAATTATTAGACTCCTATTAAACTCCACTTGAAAGAGCCTGGAGCGATCAATTCATTTCCAGAGTGTGTTATCATTCATATAATCACTAATACTATAATAGCCATTAACACACAAACGTTCCTTAACAAGTTTTTTGAATTTAGCAACGGATTCATTTTGAACGTTTTCTGGGATTTTGTTAAAAAGCGTATACATTGTCCCATAAAAGATTTACTTATTCTACGCAATCTAGTTGAGGGTAGAACTAATTTATGCTTGTTCCTAGTATTTACATCATGCACATTACTAAATTTTGAAAAGTCATTCTTATTTTTGTGGACATACATAACATTAGCAAGTATGTACTGAGAAGCTACAGTCAATATTTTTATTTCTTTAAACAGGTTTCTTAGTGAGTCTTTGGGGCCCAGGTTATAAACCGCTCGAATAGCTCTCTTTTGCAGGATGAAAATAGTATTTATGTCGGCTGAATTTCCCCAAAGTAGAATGCCATAAGACATTATACTGTGGAAATAGCTAAAATATACCAGACGAGCCGTATCCACATCAGTCAACTGTCTAATTTTTTTGACTGCAAAGACTGCTGAGCTAAGTCTACTCGACAGTTTATTAATATGGGGGCCCCACTGCAATTTGGAATCTACGGTTATGCCAAGAAATACAGTCGAGTCAATGAGGTCTAACGCTTCCCCATGTAAAAGTACATCAGTTTTTACACTTTTTACGTTGGGAGTTGTAAATTTAATACATTTCGTTTTTTTACTATTCAACATTAAGTTGTTAGCACTAAACCAATGCACTACAGTGGAGAGAGTATTGTTAACGTCGTCATAATTTGAAGAATGTCGTTTAACTTTAAAAATTAAAGAAGTATCATCAGCAAACAATACTATCTCATGATCATTATTTACAAGATAGGGCAGGTCATTTATGTAGATGAGGAAGAGAAAAGGCCCCAGAATAGATCCCTGTGGAACCCCCATACTTACCAGGGCCCCGGGAGATCTCTTGCCATTCACGTCAACTCTCTGAACACGATAGCTCAAGTACGATGTCAGAAGATTGAGTGCGGCATCTCTTATACCATAGTGGTGTAGTTTCCTGACCAGAGTGTCATGCTGTACACAATCAAATGCTTTGGTTAAGTCACAGAATATACCTAAGGCATCCTGTGACTCTTCCCAGGCTTCAAAAATATTCTTCACAAGCTGGATACCCGCATCTGTTGTTGAGCGACCCCTAGTAAATCCATATTGCTTGTTATGCAGCAATTTATGTGTACTAAAATGGAGTAACATTTGATTCAAAATAATTTTTTTCAAAAATTTTACTAAGAGTCGGTAGTACTGAAATAGGTCTAAAATTGCTGGGGTCAGAAGTACTACCAGATTTGAACACCGGAATAATCTTACTATGTTTCATAAGGTCAGGAAACTCGCCACGTTGAATACAAATATTAAAAATAGTTGCTAAGTAAGGTGAGACTACATCAATTATAGAACTGATCACCTTGACAGAGATCCCCCATAGATCAGCAGTTCTTTTAATATCTAGAGATTTGAATGTTTTTATGATATCGTTCTTATTAACAGTAGTAAACTTAAAGTTTTCTTTACATTCCATAACATTTTTCTTAAGTAATGATAACTATAATAACTTCTATACTAAGACTTTTAAAACTTGAGTCAAATCGATTTAAAATTAGAGTTGAAATAGAATAAAAAATAACAGTGCAAATCTAACAATATGATTATTTCTCGACCAGCTGGACGGTGCTACGTGCCGCGATCTGGACGAGTGTATGCTGGACCCGGAGCTTTGTATCGGCGGCTCTTGTGTGAACACCGACGGCTCCTACCGCTGCGATTGTCCTTCTGGACTCACTCTCGATTCTACCGGTAACTAGTCAATATATAAAGCTGCATTAATAGTTTAAGAGTAGTTGCTTAGATCTAAGAGCTTAGACAATGTAAGTTATATAAATTGACCAGTTGAGAAGCTGCATTAACAATAATCAACTTAACCCTTCTTATTCTATTATTATTATATTATAGTATTTTATTATTAAAAATATCACAGACAATAGACACATTTATCAGACATTATTTATTTAAAGTTTGAATATTGACAATAATAAACCTTATTATCGATGCAGCTTAGAAAATAAATAGAAATGGAATGGTAGAATGTGTTAAACCATTTGAATTGACATAAGGAACGTATGATTTAAGGAAATCGTTGTGTGGACACTCGCAAGGAGTATTGCTACACCGACTACATCGGAGGTCGGTGTTCGAATCCGTTGCAAGTGGAGGTCTACCGGGCGATATGTTGCTGCTCCTCACTTGGAAAGGCTTGGGGCGATGGTCGTTGTGAGCCTTGTCCCAAAAAAGGTAAGTTGCTATTACGTATAAGATACGTGAATCTACAGATAGTTTTAAAGCTGGACCACGAAGAAGTTAGCGTTACGAGTAAGTAAAAAGTCGACCATTAAATTAGATCCTTGCAAACGAGCAACCGTTTCATTCAACGATATTCTCCAGGTTATTGTAAAATTGGATAAATAAATAAGTTAGATGGCGAAGTTAGGACAACAGCACTCACAATATCTGAAGATTCCGTTATAGTCAAAATTATGAGTTCATTTGTATGTGTGATGTATGGAAATTTCTAAATTTCAATAGATATGAAATTTATTCACAAATGAAAAGTATGTGTAAGTGCATTTAGTAGCTACAGTACAAGCTTTGCTTGGTCAGTAACTTGATATTGTTTTTAATTTATGTAAAAATTAAAGATACATTTTTAACTCATATTCAGTATCGTTCTTGAGAACGAATTTTCGTCTTTTTGAATAAGATGAAAATCCCTTCATTATTGGATCCTTGATATAACTTTTTAAAATAACTCTTTGAAATGAGATATTGTTATTACTATTTAGGTACGGACGCATATCGCAACCTGTGCATATCTGACGTCAGCGGACCCCCGACGATTTGGGACAGACCTTACCCCGGTGGGCCGAACAGAACGGATAGCATGAGTCACATAGTTCCCGGGGGCGATCTGGACGGCTGGGACGTGGACGTCGGAACAACTTCCTCAACAATTCCCTGGACGGCTGGGGGAGCCAAGGCCACGGCCTCATTCCCGGACAAATGGAGGTGAACGAGTGCGCGGCCTTCCCCGGGCTCTGTGGACACGGCAGATGCAGAAATATGCTCGGAACGTTCACTTGCGATTGTTTCCCCGGATATGAGAAGGTTTGTATCTAAATAATGTCTATCTTGTCTGCAAGTGTTAAAATACGAATTAGCTTGATATTATTACTTTTTAGTGCTAGTACTAGTGACGTAAAGTTTTTCACCAGCCTGGACTCAAATAACAACCTTCGAAGGTTGTTATTTCTATGAAATATGGGAAATACCATATGCTCTTGTACACAGCCATATTATATACAAATACGAGGTAGGTATGACACTAGCGCAACGAAACTGAGGCACTCAAATAACGCCAATTGTAGTTATCAGATTGCAGTTCTATAGACTGCTATCTTTTTCTGTATCATACGTTCTATATCATCTCTCACACTCACATATATATGTCATGTAAAGAGGAACAATTTTTTTACATCGCGCAGTATGAACATCATCTGTGTCATCTTTACATAGTTTAAAACAAAGCCGCTCCCGCTGTTAGTACGCTTAGATATTTTAAACTTCACAACGGATTTTAATGCAGTTTTTAGCAATAGCTATAATGATTCAAGAATATGGTTTATATAACGTACACATGCATATTGTAATAGAGAAAAACCGAGAAATTTAAAGATTTGTAATGCGGTATAGGGATATAAAGACATCCTGTAGTATAGATTAATCATAAACTTCTAGGTTATATCTAGTGAAGTAAAAATTTTGTAACCCCTTTTTGTAAAAATTACGCGGACGGAGGTATATGAAATTTCCGACACTTATACTTTGTATAGAGAAGAGTGCAGAATGACAATATCATAATATATAAAATACATTAAATCAACAAAAAAAAACATTACACATACTACCATGTATAAGTTATGTGTCGAATTTCGACCAATGGGCGACCACTAGTATTATTAATCACTAAACACTGCCCCCAAATTATGGTCTACATTTCATCAGCGCGGAGCCGGGTGAGTTCGCTAGTTTATTAAAGCATTATCGCTTGCACAGGACAACAAGAACCACACGTGCGTGGACGTGAACGAGTGCGAAATAGTGGACGAGGTCTGCGGTGCCGGCGAGTGCAGGAACACCGACGGCAGCTTCACGTGCCACTGCCGCGACGGCCACCGCGCCGACGAGCTCTCCAAAGTCTGCGTCGGTCAGTGCTCTCTCGGTCTACTGCTTTTGTGCTTGACTGATTTTGTGCTTGAGTCAGTGTCGATCTCTTGGTCTACTGCTTTTGTGCTTGACTGTTTTAGTACTTTAAGTCAGTGTATAATCTCTGGCAGTGTGTCTATTGTTTGGCCCGGCCTGGCTAGCGGGCGATTCGTGTAGCCCACCCTCCTTCGTCTTATTTTCAATTGACCTGGTAGTATAAATTAAAAAAAAAATAAAATTTATTTCACCTAGCCCGGTTAGTGAGCATTCCTGTATTCTGGTTAGTGAGGTTTTCATTTAAATTTTTTTCTAATTTAATATTTATTATTGACATAGAAATATTCAGGACACAAGGATGCCTGGAGGGTATTTGTCTCTTGTCATTTCAATGAACCTGTATTGTAGATGTTTATATAATTGTTCATTTAACAAACATTATTTATAATTAGCGTCGCATTCTGCCTCCGAATCGCACGAGAAGGGCTATTTATAAAAAAAAAATGCTGAACCTATTGCTACCTAGTTGCACTGGATAACCCCAGGGTTTACTCTGTGATTACCCAATATGGAGTTACGGTATAACCCCAGCCTAGGCTTATCTAAAGACTATCCAAGAACTTTATCAAAATCGGATTGGAGCCGTATTGGAAGGAACAACGCACATACATATGGTTTGAGTCTACAACATATGATAATTTTCAACCGATTTCAAAAAAGGATACAGAGGTTTGCAATTCGACTGTATTTTTATTAATGTTTGTTACCACGGAACTTTCGACTGAGTGACACGGATTTTGATGATTCTCTTTTTATTTGAAAACTGGTGCTTCCCATGTGGTCCCATATTATTTTTAATTGGTATTAGATCTCCTTCCGGAGATACTTAGGGAACTCTTTGAAAATCAATCATAAAACGAATACAGATGGAGGTATTTGAAGTCGGTTTTGTTTTTCGCTACTAAAAAAAATGACTTGTTTATGGGGCAGACATCGACGAGTGCGCGGAGAACCGGGCGCTCTGCCGCGGCGGGCGCTGCGTGAACACGCCGGGCTCGTTCCGGTGCGAGTGCGCGCCCGGCATGGAGCTCGCGCCCGACCGCCTATCCTGCAAGGACGTCGACGAGTGCTCCATCACCTCCGGTCGGTGCACACCACTGAAGGGTTTTCCCTCGAGTCGCGAAACAAAGAGCGAAAGACGTTTGAGGATCATCGTCGTTATTTTCATTTTCCATCCCGGTTGAGTCATCTGCTGAATATAGGCCTCCTACAGACTCCCATGAAGCATGGCCCTGAGCCATCTGCATCCATGATGTTGGAGGGTACAAAATAATGTTTTGCCTTCGATCCGGCTTCATTTTTTTGTAAGAAACGTAATTGCATTTGTAACAAACTGCACGACTGAAATATTAAACGATACCGTCATCCAATCAGACTGAAGTAGTTATACTAAAAGCAATACTCAAATAGACCCATTATATAATAAAATATATCAATATAAATATAAAAATGTTATAACCGAAACAACAACGTATATGTGAAGTGCGAGATTTGAGATTCCTGCAAAATAAACGTGGCTGCTAAATCGACAGGCATCTGCAGCAACGGCGCTTGCGAGAACCTGATGGGCACTTACCAGTGCGTGTGCGACGAGGGCTACGCGCAGTCGACCGTGAAGTCTCACTGCGAGGACATTGACGAGTGCAGCGAGGACCCCACCCGCTGCCAGCACGAGTGCGTCAACACGCCAGGCTCCTACCACTGCACCTGCAGGTACGCCTTATCTTGGCATTTAGACTTATGCGTTATAATCTGTTTCGTTTTTTTATTTTATTTTTAAATATTGCTCTTACTGTAGATAGTCATTATCCTGTGTTGTAAGGTCGTTTCACAAAAATAAATTTCACGCGGACAAACACTCAAATGCGAAACAACTACCTGTGGGTCGCATAAACCCGATGCCGAAGCCAGTAACTTAGCAACTGCTGAATCTGAAACAAGAGCTGGAACAAACTGACCTCGCCGTTTGTCAACATTCACGAACTCTGCGCGTCCCACGCAGGGAGGGCTGGCAGCTGCGCGCCGACGGGCGCTCCTGCCGCGACATCGACGAGTGCGGCGGGGGCGCGCGCGCGTGCGGCGGCGGCCAGTGCCGGAACACGCCGGGCTCCTACCGCTGCGAGTGCGCAGAGGGGCTGCTGCCCGCGCCCGAGGGCTCCAAGCCCACCTGCCTCGACATCGACGAGTGCACCGACGTGAGTCTGCAGCGCGTAGATAACGTGTCAACGAATCGTCATTGTTGTTGTTCACTGTGTTTGACACTCCTGCAATACTCCTCTGGCGTCGGATGTCCAAATTAGTTTATTTTTGTTATATAATTATATAATTGACAATTTTAATTATTGATGATAATTAATTTTATTATAAGTTTTGTAATGTTTTTCCATAACACATTTTGAACTATTCAGGCCCCATGTAATAATTCAGTGAATAACGATTATTTAATGATTTCATCCATAGGCGGTCGCCCTAACATACAATCAGCTATGTTCTTCTTTACTAAGTTCTTGACAAAATAATTAAGACTCTACCGGTTATTCGTCGTGATGGTATCGAGCAGCCATTTGGTACCTAAATAAATCCTATTCTAATTCAGATCCCCGAGTTGTGCGGTGCGGGCGAGTGCCGCAACACGATCGGCAGCTTCGTGTGCCGCTGCCCGGACGGGTACAGCGTGAAGCCCGAGCTGGGCCCCGCGTGCTCCGACGACGACGAGTGCGAGCTCGGCACCTGCGACTGCCACCCGGCCGCCGACTGCATCAACCTGCCGGTACCTGTCTCTATACGTAGTCTTTCTTTTAAAGTGAAAATAATGATCACGTCTTAGGAAGTAAAGTCCAGGTGCTCGCCTTTGATTTTATATAATCGAACCCCTTATTTCGATCCCCTGTGTCGGCACCAATGAAGCTGCTAATTTTAAGTGTTGATCACGTGCTCGGCGGCGAAGAGGTTTGAAGATATGTGAAGTCCACCAATCCGCAGTGGGGCCGTGTATTAGACTATGCCTTAATACCCACTGTACAGAGGAGGCCTTTGCCCAGCACATGTATAGGCACACTTTGGGACATGTATAGGCCGTTACTTTACTTTCATTTAGGCACTATAAAGAAAAAAATAAATTAAGTAAATAAATGTAATACTATGCAAATGCCTACACTAAACAAAGAAAAGTCCATCTGACTGTGGTTTTCAAGACTTCATATATTCATAGACTTAATATTTTATTTCATATATATAATAATCATAATTTTTACATCGACCATCGAGGAATTGGTAAAATTCCAATTAAAAATTTCTTTACCGGTATTGGATTTGAACCTTGCGAGCTCGAGTACATCGAGTTGAGCGAGCGCTGCTCATTACTTTGATGCCGTCGGCAGGGCTCGTTCCAGTGCCGCTGCCGCGACGGGTGGCGCGGCGACGGCACCGAGTGCGAGGACGTGGATGAGTGCGTGACCAACAACGGCGGCTGCCACCCGCGCGCCACCTGCCGCAACACCGACGGCTCCTTCCTCTGCCTCTGCGACACCGGCTACAAGGGCGACGGGTGAGCTTGCCTCGTGGCCTGCTATTCTACACGCTAGTTTCTGTACTTTAGGTGAAACTCAAAAATGTGCCGTTAAAACTGCAACAAAAACAGTTTAGAGATAGTGGTTTTTGTATATGAAAAGGTGGCAAACGAGGTGGCGATGATGCTGATCACCCGATGTTAAGTGAGAACCGTTGCCAAATGACGTTTGCAACACTCGTAGGGTTGCTCACTTATCAAACGGAACGCAAAAGTTTAATACTTCCATTTCACGCCGGTCGTCTGTGAGGTCCGGACATGCTCAGCAGTGGGACATAAAGGCTGTTACTTTAGGAACGATCCTGAACTGCATGTAACCTCGTGTCCGTAATGTCGAATGATTTTTGATCAGGTACTCGTGCGTCGATATCGACGAGTGCTCCAACGACCCGACGCTCTGCGAGAACGGCCATTGCACGAACACGCCCGGCGGTTACGAGTGCGAATGCGACGTCGGCTTCACCAAAGCGGCGGACGGTCGATCTTGTTTAGGTAATCACACGTCATCCAACCTTGATTAAGCCTAACGGTCACTTTCGTCAAGAAGCCTACGAACGACATCTAACGTACTTTGAGACAGATAATGAAGAGGACAGCACATTGGAAAATTTATTTAGACTACTCTACGGTTTTCAAGATCAACTCTTTTCTCATCATGGTAGGTTGCTTGTATTTTTTGAAGGCTACTATTTAGTCTCGAATTCCTGGAATTGCTTAGTAATTTTATGTATATACAATTTAATATATCCAATATTTACAAATCATAACAAATTCGGAGAGAGCAAGATGTATCACATAGGTAATTTAATGAGGTACTTGTATAAGTAGTTGGTATTTTGAGTAGCTATTTATTTTTATAAGTAACATTTATTAGTTTTAATTTATATATGAATTATAAGTAATTTGTTTAATATATTTATGATCTGAGATCATTATGTGTTATTTATATCTATAATATTTAAGGGGCAATAAGTTATTTTCCAACGGACGAAAACTTTTAATAACGGGAAATGCATCGCAATCGGTATGTAGACTTCTTCTAAACTGTGTACAGTTAGACTAAAGATTATACATATTTCATTTAGCAAAAATCTCATTGGAAGTAATTAAATAGCTTCGTGTCTCTTATTAACGCGAATCATCATTAAGTAAAATAAAACTGTTACCTGTTAAATTCATTTACATTTTATTTTTATTTCGAAGAAATTTACAAAATTCATCAATAAAAATATTCTTGAAATAGTATTTATTACTCATCAGTTAATATTCGAAGATTAGCAATAATAAATAAAGTATTACGACCTAATTGGCGTCGTTGATAGTGACTGAGGGTGTGGGTTCGATACCCACTACTGCGAAATTATTGCGTGATGAACATACGTGGTATTTTTCTAGTGTCTGGGTATTTATATACCTACGAGTAAACATGTTTATCAGTTACCTAGTACCCATAGTACAAGCTTTGCTAGCTTGGGACTAGATGATTAATATTTTTATTAATCTGAACATAGGCCTCCCCCATTGACTTCCACTTCGACCGGTCGTTAGCGGCTCGCATCCAACGCGTCCCTGCGATCGTGGCTAGGTCGTCCGTCCACCATGTGGAAGGACAACCTAGCCAAGCCTTCCTACGCTGCGCTTGCCGTCACGTGGTCTCCACTCTCGAGTGGAGACCACGTGACCCTTTTGCCCCAACGGCCAACGGTCCTTCGAGCTATGTGTCCTGCCCACTGCCACTTCAGCCTGCTGACTGGCTCTGCTATGTCGGTAACTCTGATCTATGTACAGATATGGACGAGTGCGCGACATTTGACAACGTGTGCGTGTTCGGGCGATGCGTGAACACGTACGGAATGTTCAAGTGCATCTGCGACAAGGGCTACCAATCGGACAGCGTCGACGACCGTGAGTGCCATCTACTTGACCGCGTCTACTGACTGTACCTTCATAGGCATACGTATTTAAACTCGATTATCGAGACTCGGTTTTCGTTATGAACATTGATTTTCGAGAAGACTGTTTAAATTTTGAGAATGAAACGCGGTTTGAGTTTCTACGTGGTCTTCTTTCTTTTGTATTAAACAAACAGATATTGGTCTGGTGAATATTTTATTCATTTCATTGGAGATGAAATTGATATTGGAGATATGTAAAGATAATTATAACACCTATTTTATCATTCCCTTCAAAACGTATGTTGTCATGTAACATTTAATTCATAACAAATTTAATTGAGATTAAACAACTTTCATTTCTGTGGAAGTAAATTTTTAAGCGACCATTTTAAATAGACGTTAAAAAAAACTGCATGTAATTCATATGTTTAAAGCTGATGTATGAGGTTTTAAGTCATAGGTTACAATGATGCCTCAAGTAAAAATCTGCCATGTATAGAAGCAACTAGACCTATAATTATGTTTGACATGCTCAGTGATGCCGGGCTTCAACTGCACTGATGTGGACGAGTGCAAGTCGCCGCAGTCTTGCCAATACGGTACCTGCATCAACACGCAGGGCTCCTACATCTGCCGATGCCCACCTAACTACGAGCTGGTATCAGACGGCACCGCTTGCTTCGGTGAGACAGATGTATATTCATAATGGGATATTTTTTGTTGAAAAATTGTGGAAAATTGGATTCTGCGGGAATAGAACCTTCGTCTTCCAGGTAACGAGCACAGTATACATCCTGGATGAAAATTATGATTAGTGAAGAGAGAATGAAATAGAAGTACGATTCCGTTGCAACGCTACTATTTGTAACAGCAACGAATTTTTATCGTTAAAATGTACAATTTTGGAACAAATTCTTGTTTTTACGTCAATATTATATATTGTGAAATTTGAAATGAAACTATTGGACTAAATAATTGATGGTAGCTTGAGTTATGTCTGACATTAGGACGTGAAACAACTCAGTCTGTCCCGTGACCATGAACGCTGGAAAGAGTTCGAAAAATCTGGAATTTAAAAGTCTAATTAAACGCGATAAAATATCTAAATTATTTCTTTTCACAATGTCTTTCTTCTACCAGGCAATATCCATTTGAATATTTCAGATTCAAGAAAGGCTAGATGCTACGGCAAAGTGGACTTACGGTCCGGTACGGAGCACTGTCGGGACAGCGATGAGTTGTCTGAAGACGGAACTATGGCAGCATGCTGTTGCTCAGTTGGTACGAAACTTTACCTCCAATCATTTTCACTGGATATAACTATATCATCATTATCCTCCTGTCCTTATCTGAGTTAGGTGGGTTCGGCAAAACATGCGAATCATAACGTGGTTTTGGCTTGGTTTTTACGTCCCCCTGCCTGGTGTCAACCCTCCTTGGGAATAATCACCCAAATCAGACAACGTTCCGGATCTGGGTACTTGTTTATTGTGGGAATTAAATCCACGACCCCCGGCGTCGAAGACAATAGCTTAGTTACGGCCCCACTGAGTGTATAGTATAGATATTTTTTTGAACAATTTGTATGATGACTTATTTTTATTTTGATGTTTTCAAAAATATGATTAAATAATGGTATTTTTTCTCGTAACAATAAGACGGCTGAACTCATGCAAACCCGGTGTATGTACCGACTAGTTTTGGACTCATCCGTATTTCATCTATTACTAACTCATCTGTTTACTTAGCATTCATGATTGATTTTTATTTCAGGTGCTGCTTGGGGCAACTATTGCGATCTATGCCCAGAGCCAGGTTCCGAGGCGTACAGGCAACTCTGTCCTGGTGGACCTGGCTACCAACCGGTGTTGGAACCTGTGAGTGATTTTCGAACGTTTATTCTTACTTGGACATTGTATAAGATTCATTTCTTTCGTGATCTGTTACATAATGAAAAAAAATCCTCCAATTTTAATTTATTAAATATGGGCTTAACTTCTGCGCCTCGTTTCCTTCATGGAATTAGGTGTAAATGTGTGTTAGGTGTAACTTCATTTCGTAGCACTTGTCGTATTGTTCATTGTCAATTGCTTGCGCATTGTTGCATTTGACTGACCAATTTCTCCTGGCCCCCCTCTAGCCTTCGTACGTGGTGACGCTCGCGGACATAGACGAGTGCGCGCAGCACCCGGCGCTGTGCGAGCACGGCACGTGCACGAACACGTTCGGCTCGTTCGTGTGCACGTGCGGCGCCGGCTGGCGGCTGGCGGAGGGCGCGGCGCGCTGCGACGACGTGGACGAGTGCGCCAGGCCCGACGCGTGCGGGCCCGGCGTCTGCCGCAACCTGCCCGGCAGCTACGTGTGCCTCTGCCCCGAGGGATACGTCGCCATGCCCAACGGGAGTGAGTCCGAGCCGCTGCACTGTGTCACTTTTGCCCCGACAGGTTCTATCGCCGAGTGTGGTTAGCCGTTTTGGCTTGTGGGTTATGTGGTCATGCCCAACGGAAGTGAGTCCGAGCCGCTGTGCTGTGTCGCTTTTGTTCCGATAGGTTCTATGGCGGAGTGTGGTTAGTTGTTTTGGCTTGTGGGTTATGTGGTCATGCCCAACGGAAGTGAGTCCGAGCCGCTGTGCTGTGTCGCTTTTGTTCCGACAGGTTCTATGGCGGAGTGTGGTTAGCCGTTTTGGCTTGTGGGTTATGTGGTCATGCCCAACGGAAGTGAGTCCGAGCCGCTGTGCTATTAGGCTCACTCTGATAGGTTGTATGGCGAAGTATGATTAATCGTTTTGGCTCGAATATGTAGTACATACGTGGGCTATGTTGTAATGCCCAACGGAAGTAAATCTACGCCGCCGCGATGAATATAGCACGTGATGACGTCAATACCGTGTGAACACACTGCAACGTGTCAGGGCGCAGTAAGGTTAGCTAGCCGTTTTGGCTCTTGGGCTATGTCGCCGTGCCCAACGAAAGTGTGTCGTTGCTACAATGCTATGTTACTTTTGCTCTGGGGGTTCTATGGCGTAGTTCGCTCCGACAGGTTGTATGGTGAAGTAAGGTGGGTTGCAGTTGTGTTGCCACCTTTTAATAAAGTGGGCCCCGGTTACCTCACTCACAAGACGAAACGCAGAACATTAACACTTACACTTCTCGCAAGCTTTCAGTGAGGTCGTGGTACTTACTTCCCCGGATGGACCTCCTCATTCATGCAACAGCGAACTTTATTGCGTGGCCCTATAACATTGAAAGCGAATATATATTCAGGCGAGCATTAAATATTATTTAGTTAAACTATTTATTACGGATTTATCGTGTTTTTTTTTAATAATTTTAATTATAAATATTGACGATACCATGAAAACCCCGTGAAACTATGGATGTCGTGAATATAGGCCATTAATCCATATTTTTTTTTCCTTCGATAGCTTTATTCACAAAGTAAAATATATTTATTATATAAATATATAAATATATTAATGGATTATTATAAATGTAGAAAAAGTTTTACCCCACCATTAATAAACAAATCCATCCGTGGAAATATACGGCAATATAATAAATAAATGTCCTTTAACAGACTATTTTCAATGGTAGCTATTAGTGCTTATCTACTTTAGAGCAAGCTCTCAGGCTTAAACATCCACTAACGTCTACAAGTCCAGTTAACGGGACATTTCAATCCATACAAATTAGTTCTTTATGGCTATGTTTTGCATTTATAAGTTCTAATGCAATTCAAATGCATTCAAATAAGTCAGATGACTGACGTAGATACGGCTCGTTTGGTACGTTTTGGTTATTTCCTCAGTATAATGTCTTATGGCATTCTACTTTGGGTAAACACGGTTAATAACTAGAGAGTACAAAAGAGACCTATTCCAGCAGTTTATAACCTAGGCTCCAAAGAATCACTAAGAAATTTGTTCAAAGACATTAAAATATTGACTGTTGCTCATCAGTACATATTCGAAAATGTTTTGTATCTCCATAAAAATGAGAATGAATTTTCAAGAAATGGTAATGTGCATGATATAATTACTAAGAATAAATATAAAGTAATTCTACAGACAACTAGACTGCGTAGAAATAGTAATTCTTTTATGGGACAATGTATACGTTTTTACAAGAAGTCCCAAAAAAGTTCACATTGTATCAATCGCTAAATTAAAAAAAATTGTAAAGGAATGTTGTGTAAAAAGCTATTATAATTTTTGTGATTATTTAAATGAGAACCCACCCTGAAAATGAATTGAACGCTCCAGGCTCTTTCAAGTCCAATTCATTGTAAAAATGTTACAAAAAATGATGTCTCGCAGAGTTTCTTTCGCCGGTTCTTCCCTGGTGGCTTATCCGAACTATTGGTAGTGTTTTGACAATCAGTGTAATGCTTCTATATTAAATAAAGATATTTGAATTTGATTTTGAATTAAACCGTACCGACTTTGTTACTACCGACGGATAGATACCAACTACAAAAGGAGATTGTTGCTTTATTTTTTATTTTAGGATAACATTATCCTGTGTTGTTTTTACAAACATATATTTCACGCGGACAAACATCGAGATGCGAAACAACTATCTGTGAGTCACACAAATAGTTGTCCCGTGTGGGAATCGAACTCACGACCCCCGACGCCGAAGCCAATTGGCAACTACGCCACGGAGTCATCACTTCACTGTTCGTATTCAACTAATAGCCCATACCAACTGACTTCGGGGCCACTTACGTATAAACGACACCGCAAAAGAATACTTTGCGCTTATGCGGTTAGGTTTTTAAATTAACCTGTTAGATTAAGTTAGGTTAGGTTTTGATTAAAAAAAGTGTGTTTTATTTCAAAAAGTACCGACTTCGCTCCTACCGATGGAAATATACCAACGACGAAAGGTCTTGTTTACTGTTCGTGCTCAAACAATCGGACCATACCAATACCATTTAACATCTTCTAACGCGTGACATATTCACCGTGTGACTTCGGTACTACCGACGGAAAGACACCAACAACAAAAGGATATTGTTGTTTGCTGTTCGTACTCATCGGACCATACCAATACCATTCAACATCTCCTAACATGTGACCTGTCTACCGTGTACAGAGGAGTGTGTAGACGTGCGCCAGCGGCAGTGCTACATGGACTGGGATCCTGACACCGGCCGGTGCACCGCCGCGGTGGGCGTCCCGCAGACCAAGTACCTGTGCTGCTGCTCGGTGGGCAAGGCTTGGGGCGCGCCCTGCGAGGCCTGCCCCGACAAGGGATCACAGGTCCGTACTACTCGGTTTTTATGGTAGAAGGTGGCAGGCGAGTTGGCGGATCACCTGATGATAAGTAATAATCTTCATTCTTCGTTTGCGTTCAGTCAAAGAAATTAAAATAACGAGGTTTTAGAAAAATTTCAAAATATCGATGAAAAGAAAGTGTTTAAATCAGCAACCATAAACAATGATTCGCTAACCCGTGGTAGATATTCTCAAATGTCAATTTCGTTGCCTTCTAGGAGCACATGGCGCTCTGTGGCGAGAAACCTGGCGAGTACATCAACCCGATGACCAACGAGACGAAGCCGATCAACGAGTGCGACATAATGCCTCAGCTCTGCAAGCCGGGCTCCTGCCACGACACACCCACCGGCTTCCAGTGCGGCTGCGACCACGGGTGAGATTCTGCACCGGCTGGTGTGGCGAGGTCCTTTCAGCAGATTTACGTCCTGGTGTAACCTCCTCGGAATTCTTAGATGTATTTGAAGAACTAGTGTGTCAATCACTAAAGGATTGTGTTAGGGTCTGTCAAAGTGAATATTTATGGGGCAGCGATTTTCAGTAATTGGCAAACATAACAAAATAAATAAAACATAATAAATAAGGACAAATGTTTTACAGAAAATACTTATGCAGAAGCTTGAAAGTGTTTTAATTGATTTGTTGGTAAGCGAGCAGGCGGTTCACTTGATGTTAAGTGACATCTACAACATTGCGTTGCAGATGCTTGGCTAACTATCAAAACAATGGGACCGCTTACTTTACACACTAGACGAAATGCGAAAGTATATTGTTACCGAAGCTGTTGCATGGCCTTGCCATAATTGTGTGGCAACGTGTCGTGGGGCAGCTTTGGCTGTTACAAGAATGGTCTGGTCCGTCCGGATAAGTACCTCGACCACACAGAAGAAACAACACTTCTGCGTTACGTCTGGCGTCTGAGGTTCAGCGACCTGCAACCCACGGTTGGTGCAATGTCCACGGGCGGCGGTTATCACTCAGCACCAGGTGAGCCGCCAGCCCGTTGCCACCTTCTGACGTGCAACACGCGCAGGTACGAGCACGACAACGCGTCGCACCTGTGCCGCGACGTGGACGAGTGCGCGCTGCACCGGTCGCCGTGCCGGGGGCTCGCGCAGTGCGTGAACCTGCCGGGCGCGTTCGAGTGCCGCTGCCCCGCCGGCTACCGGCTCACCGCCAGCCTCGACGAGTGCGAGGACGTCGACGAGTGCGCCGACGAGAGGCTCTGCGAGCACGGCGACTGCCGCAACACCATCGGCTCCTACAGGTGACGCGCTATTTAGCGATGCATTGCCTCGACTTTGGATGGGCATGCCTTGTCAGCTAGTAGATGGATCAGTTTGTACCTCGCGGGTGGTGACAAGTCACCGTGGTCTTAGGCATCGATGCGTTGCCTCGACCTTGGATGAGCGTTCCCTGCTAACACTTAGATGGATCAGTACAATCCGCGGCTGCATGCACAGCGTGTTCTCTTCTATATTTTTGCTGCGCGACCTTACTCTGTTCTTTACATGTATATTTCACGAATTGATACCTCGTTATTGGTGAATTCATACCCCTACAAATTGTGGGCTAAATAACACAGCATTTTAAAACATTTCTATCATTACGATGTCTGCTAGTTTAACATAAAAAACCCACAACTTGCAAAAGTAAGTAGTAAACAGAACTTAAACAGTTTAAATAGTAATGCTAAAAGCGTACTAGACCTTGCAATTGGACGAAAGGCTGATAGATTGATCAGCATTCTTGATGGATGGTCTGCTGTCAGTTTTTTGTTTGATAGTGTACAAGTCGTATTCATTACTTCAATCTTAATGATTTATTAGTGATGATGTAATAACTACGTATGGTAATTACGCAAGGCTTCATAGCCTTCATAAGAAATGAACGTTAAGCTTATAAACAGATGCGAGTGCGCGCCCGGTTACACGCTGCGCGACAACGTGTGCCGCGACGTGGACGAGTGCGCGCGGCCGAGGCCCCTTTGCCGCAACGGCACCTGCGAGAACAGGCCCGGCTCCTACGTGTGCCACTGCGACGACGGGTTCAAGCCCGGCGCGAACAACGACTGCATCGGTGAGTTTGGTCAACCTTTGCAATAGCTCCAGTTTAAGTACAACTACCATCATCGCGATCATCATCATCAATCCGGTTTGTTTTAGTCCACAGTTGAACATAGGCCTCCCCTGCTGCAACAATCCATTTTCCTTCCTCTCTAATATTACCGTTCTTAATTCGTTCCGTTAGGAGCAAATGATAGACATTTATATTGAAAAGCTTTAAGATAAGCCCTGGGCGAGAAAAATTACCACTGTGCCCATAAAGTGCAATCTTATTCATTAGTTGATATAGTTAGATATGCACTAAATTAAATCTCAGTTCTTCGTTTCTTATTCAAAAAAAGCTGCCCCGCACTTGAAAAGAAAATTGTGCTGCGGGAGCCTCCATCAAACCACAAACACATACTACACCCAGACTAAGAGCAACTACTTTTGCTTGCGGACCGCACCTGAGCTCTGCGCGGTCCATACAAATTTAAATAGTCGCAATACATTAAATCAGCCCTTGCGTCTGCTATCGTTCAGTCGTTAAAATTGGCTTTGCGCCTGCTATCGTTCAGACATCAACGAGTGCCGCGAGGGTGGCATGGTCTGCCGCAACGGGCGGTGCCGCAACACGGTGGGCTCGTTCCGCTGCGAGTGCGCGCCCGGCTACACGCTCACCGCGGACGGGCGCAACTGCCGCGACGTGGACGAGTGCTCCGAGCTGCCGACACCCTGCGGCCGCGACGGCTCCCCCTCCTGCACCAACACCAACGGCGGGTGAGAACCACTACTTTACTCTACCACTACTCTTTCTAGCAAAAATGTAACCAATCCCAAGTGCTATAAGGTGTCTGGCAGGAGGTGACTATTTACCGTCAGGACGCCCGCCTGCCGCCGGCAGTATGCTAGCCTTTGGCATTAATATTTCAGGTCAAATTATTAAAAATGCCTTTTCGAATAATACACGTTATTAAATTAAAGTATATGTGCGGATTGTAGCAACTTTACAATTTTACTCTCGAAATTTTGAATACTTTGCAGCAAGGGTCACGCGAAGGCCACGTCCGCCTCTATGTGATGTAAATTATAAACAGTAAACTGTAAAAATAGTTCGTATGATAATAATATACGATAGGCTTTAGTTATGTAGAGAAATTCCTATTCGAGATTGCTTAAAGTGTGCCTGGGTTGTGGATGTGAATAATGATGTAATGGATTTTTATATGCGCTTGGCGGTTTTTCTGCCTGGTGCGGGTTCTGTTCAGTTACTGAAACGATGGTTCGTGATCAGGTACGAGTGCTCTTGCGGCGCCGGTTGGCGGCTGGCCGGAAGACGTTGCGTGGACCGCGACGAGTGCCGCGAGCTTCCTTATGTGTGTGCTGGCGGCGACTGCCACAACTTCAACGGCGGGTGAGCTATCATCATCATATCAATATAACGTGATTTTTTTAAATGTAACCTAACCTCACCTAACTAGTGTTTCGAAAATTGGATAAGTGCACAGACGTGCCACGGAGGATGTACAAGGAAGTGCAATTACATGTACATGGTAAATCACATTTCGTTACGCAAGCGCGAAGAAATATATATCCATCTCTGACTAAACATCTTTTATTTTTTATATTACATGTTTCACGTGTTTGTTGCTCCGCGTGGTATTTTATTTTTTTAATTGGAGCAACCCAAAAAATTTTGCAATAACATGTACCAAATAAAACACACAATGTTTTAAGATTTATATCTAACATCAGCACTGCTTTCCACAGATGTAAAATAAGCTACACTGTCAACATATTATTGTTAGGTGCTACTTTAGTTTTATTCGTACAATCATCATGTTTTGTTTCTATACAATAATTTATGTCAATGTGTAGTCTCATCGGGGGTTTTATATACCTAATTTATAATAATTTATAACATAGTTAAATAGATGCAATCGTCAACAAATAGTTGTGGGTTACATCATACGGTTAGGTTACTTCTTGCTGTTTTATATTTGTTGATATTATTATGTGAGAGGTTCACGTATTATTATTTATGTATATTTTGTTATGAGGTTTATCACCAGTCATTTAATGGCCGGTTATTAAATGAAAGAATTAACAGTGTAAGTGACAATTTAAGATCTAATTTTATCCGACAAAAAAGAAAGAGTTTGTTGCATAATCGACGCGTGAAGAAATGAAAAAGGAAATACCTAGAAAAGGACAGGCGTAAGGTCGGGCTGATTTATTGCCTCCCATGTTATTCGTCTCTCACGACTTTCTTTTTCTATACCGTTGACATACATTTTACATATGAGTGCTCTTCATGTGTAATAACAAGATTTTTAGTAGTTTAACGTTTACGGTTTATAGTACTTACCATGTAATGTTTGAATTCCACAATAACATTTCAAACTGTGAAATAGTATATTCTTTCAAACACCACCAAGATGTTAGCAAGAAGCAGTATGTTGTAGGGAAAGACAATTCATATCCGGAACAGTATACGTAGGTCAAAAATTTGTCCCGCGTGGGAATCGAATCGACCACCCACAGTGCCGAACTCTATCACTTCGCCGCTGCGCCATTACGTATCAGGCTTTAATCTTCGTGATATGGTTATTTCAAGTTACCGCTGCGACTGTCCGTCTGGCTGGCGTTTCGACAAGGCGGCCGCGATTTGCGTGGACGAGAGGAAGGAACTTTGCTACGAGCAATGGGACGGCGGTCGCTGCCACAAGGCGCGTCCTCTGCAACTCAGCAGACCTGACTGTTGTTGCTCAGAAGGTGATTATATATAGATATCTTCTATTGGCATTGACTTCTTATTTACATTTAATTCAAGATTGGAACGGATAGCTGCCATGGCAGCGTAAATAGACGATGCCGGTTTATTTAGACATGGATGCGATAAAACGCTTCGTGTGAACATTTTCTAAATTTTACTGTTAGAGCCTCATATTCGAATAAAATTAAAAAGCACTTTTCACTTTTCACTTCGTTTAAGAAGACGCTGAAACTTTGAAAATCTGAGATTCATCTCAAATAATGATAAAATCCATTAAACAGGTTTCGTCATAATTAACGTAATTCATTGATCCACACCTTGTAATCTTTTTCTAAGTGTACGAGTTAAGCTTGGTGTATACTAAAGTTGAAAAGTTTTAATGGACCTAAAAAAGTCCGTGGCGATTGTTTATATTTCAACTAGTTATTTAAAATTTACAATCCTTTTCCAGGCGCTGCGTGGGGTAGATACTGTGAGCGATGCCCCTCACCGGACTCCGCGGAGTTTTTGAGAATCTGCCAAGGTGGTATGGGTCGTCCAAATCTAACTCAGGTTAGTGTTGTTGCTAATTTTCTTTCGAGTTATACTTCTTTCGACGCGTTTTTAAAAATTATCAGATCGAATTTTCACGATGCGCGACACATAAAACCGTTTCCTATAATTTTACGTTATTTAATGTTTAATTACGTTATCAATTGCATTTAATGACTTTATTAACAAAGAGTATGCCAGTGCTCTTTGTTTGTAAAAAATGTTGTGTCCGGGTAAATACCACGACATAACAGAAGACCGGCGTAAAGTGAATGTATAGTACTTTCGCGTTCCGTCTAGTGAGTGAGGTGGCCGGGGCCCAATTTTCAAAAAGGTTGTCAATGCATCTACAAACCCGCGGGTGTAGCAGATGTCCATGTGCACCGTCTGCTCGCTTGACAACTTGTCACATAAATAGAAAACGATTTGCGTTAACTACGCCACCATTCATTTGCACCACCTACCGCTGTCCAAACTAAAATATTTTTAACCGCAAGGTTGACTGGAAGAGATCGCTCCTTAGCGATAAGACCGCCCTATTGTTTATACCTCTTAAGTTTATAGTTCTGTAACATTTCCTTTTGTGTTTTTTTGGTGTTCAATGAAGTATATATAGTAATACGCCATAACTCTTGCTCAGGACCTGGACGAGTGCAAGGTGCGGCCGGACGTGTGCAAGGGCGGGCGCTGCGTGAACACGGACGGCTCGTTCCGCTGCGAGTGCCCCGCGGGCTACGCGCTGGACGGCGGCGGGCTGGCCTGCGTGGACGCGGACGAGTGCGCGCTCGAGCCGCGCCTCTGCGGCAACGGCACCTGCACCAACACGCCCGGCGGCTACGAGTGCCGCTGCAACTACGGCTTCACGCAGGGCGCGGAGCAGGTGCGCCCCTCGCTGTTTGCTCACGAGAACTTGCTTACACCCTTACAGCCTGAGTGCCCTAATTGCCCACCAGAGCTAGCCTCAACAGTCTGATTTGCATTTAACTGCCCATTAGACCTTAAACTTAACGGAAAGTCAACATAATCATAATGCCAGACCTAACCTGTGCCCGGCTTACTTCACGTAACTGTTACACCTAAGTGAATTAGGCCACCAGAGCGAACCTTAACAGTCTGAATGGCATCGTAATCGTAATCACTTACTACGGCTTCACGCAGGGCGCGGAGCAGGTGCACTTCTCCCCGAAAGTCAAAATTTCTTTATTCAATACAGGCCTAATTTAAGATATTATTGAAGGTCAAAAAAACTACCACCGGTTCACTAAACATGCTCCAAGTTTTTTTTTGTGATACAATTATACAAAATTATTTAGTTGTAAAATCAGCATCAGCCAGTCCCCCTTATTGACCACCAGAACTAACCTTAACAGTGTGAATGGCATCATAATCATAATCACTCTTCCGCCCCTCCCCCACTTAGATAGGGAACAGCATGTGAATCACACTGATAGTGACATTGAGTTGGTTTTTGTTACGATCTAAGGTTTTCGGCTCAAATTCAGAACGATTAATATTAGTTAACTGATCATCAACACCGTCACCGTCATCATCACGACATACATCCGCTGATAAATATGAGCTCTTATGCTCAGATTCAGAAAGATTATTACTAGCCGATGAATCTTTTAATATATTTATTATGAAAAACATGCTTATCGGCTAGATGATGTGGCGTAAAATCGCTGTAAGTAATGATTTATAATATTCGCGCAGACGTGCGTGGACATAGACGAGTGCGCTGAAGGGCGGGCCTCGTGCTCGTTCCGGTGCCACAACACGGCCGGCTCGTTCCGGTGTACGTGCCCCTACGGGTACCGCCTGGCCGCCGACGGAATGCACTGCCGCGACGTGGACGAGTGCGCTTCCGAGCCCTCCCCCTGCCCCCACGCCTGCGAGAACGTCGTCGGCTCCTACATCTGCAAGTGTCCAGACGGTTAGTGCACATGTATTTTTCTATCATTGCTTTTTTTTTTTAGAAAAGTTAACGTGCGTGGTAGACATCTGATGAAAAATTATTATGGCTTAATGTCCATGTCGCAGCCGCTATATTTGGATTGGATCATTGAAGTGTTTATTGTCTTTGGCTGCTGTACATACTAAAAACGCAAAAGTTCTATACATGTCCTTTAAACTGGTTGTAAATATTATCAGGATGACTACACCAGATATCTTCACCAATGTTACATTAATCACCATGATTATGTTCAAAGACAAAATAAATACTGCAAAAACCGAGAATAAACAACCTCTATCAAACTATATTTCAACAAGACCACTCGCATTTTAACTGAGCTTCGAAGGTAAAAACTTCAGCGATGGTATCTAAGAGCTGAAAGACCCGTTCTTGAATAAGCACTATTGTGGTACAGGCTACAGACGAACGTCGGCGGCGCACGACGCCGCGGACGCTTGTGAGGATGTGGACGAGTGCGCGGAGCAGGGCGACCGTTGCTCGCCAGGCGTCTGCATCAACACGGAGGGCAGCTACCTCTGCGACTGCGACGCCGGCTACGAGCGCAGCGAGGATGGCCACGCCTGCATCGGTCTGTACTGCATTATTACTCGCTGTTAGAGTACATGCAGGTGCTCCTTGTTAGCGTGCTGCAACCTCTTATAGATTAATCTGAATTTTAGATAGGTCACCTTTGGAGAGAAAAAGAACTTAGGAGAGATAAAGACCCGTAGAATAGACTTATTATTTAGCTAGTCTGTTAACCTCTAAACTTTATATTGTTGTGAATTATACATAAATAACCTTAAGACTTTATATATTACTTACTTCTCAATTATTACTTCCCTAAATTGTTCCTCATGATTTTTTTAAATCAAAATATCTTCACTTTTAGATAGAAGAACAGGAACGTGTCACAGGTCCCTTGTATCTGGTCGATGCACCCCAGAGCCGTGGCCGAGATATACGTCGTCGACACCAGCCTTACCGTCTCAAGTCACTAAGTAAGTTCTCTATGCCTATGTCTGACTATCGTTTGATAAAATTACCTGCTATGTAGAGAATACCATATGGAAATTAATACTTCTTATAAGACTTATAAGGATAATCTAATTCTATTAAGGCATCCCCCCTAAGTTTTGTGCGAAGTTTGCCTTTAACAATTAAGCTTATTTTGGGGTAGGCTTTAGTTTCCTATGCCCCAAATTGGCCACAAACTTCTTATTGCGTTCTCCTTTCGCAGAGCCCAGTGCTGTTGCACGCTGGGCGTTGCTTGGGGTCCCGAGTGCGAACTGTGCCCGCTGCCGGGCAGCCCGGAGCGTCTCGAGCTCTGTTCGCAAACCAACCTGATCGTGGGCGGTGGCGGCTTACCTGGAACCGGCGACAGCACTCTGCCTGGCGTGCTGCTGGGCGATGTGGACGAGTGCGCGGCAATGCCCGATCTGTGCGCGCCCGGTAGATGCGTCAACACAATCGGCAGGTGTGTATCTAAAATCTCTAATAGCAGTTATTCAACGATGTCATCGATGAGGCTTTATTCGGTTACGGCATCAACACACCTTTTATTAAGATAACAACTTGTTCCTCAATGATTTATTATTTTTATTTAAAATCCGTAAATTTGTACGATTACAATCGTTTAAATATAACTATTGTTAAAACTGATTTTCGGATTAATCTATCTTATCTTTCTCGTTTTTATCCGCAATAAAAGTCCAATCTCAAAGTGACTTCTCAATACTAGCGAGATTGGACTTCAATGAAAATACTGATTGAGGAGAACAGCTCTACTATTCTACCACGTATTTTGAATGACGAGGCAAGTCACATTAATCTTTGTAGTAGTGATGCTCAGATGCTCGAGTCGAGGTCTACGTTTGATTCCCACTGGCGTGCACTTAATAATTTTTCTATAGGATATCCACGTCACGATGTTACCTTAACTGTTCCATGCCTGTCTCATTACGGATTAGGTTGTGATCGATCTTATAATCCAACCGCATTCACGATGTTACATCGACTGTTTCGTATCCGCCTAATAACGGGTTAAGTTGTGATCGATCTTGTAATTCGACCAAGTCCGCGGATTCACGATGTTACATCAACTGTTTCGAACCCGTCTCCTCACGGATTAAGCTGTGATGGATGTTATAATACGTCTGCTTCCGGCGCAGCTTCCGGTGCGTGTGCGCGCGCGGCTACAAGGCGGCGGGCGAGGTGTGCGCGGACGTGGACGAGTGCAGCGTGCGCCCGCCGCCCTGCGAGCAGCTCTGCCGCAACAACGAGGGCTCGTACGAGTGCCTCTGCCGCGCCGGCTACGAGCTGGACGCGGACGGCGCCAACTGCCAGGACGTGGACGAGTGCGAGAGGGGCACGCACACCTGCCAGCAGACGTGCGCCAACACGGAGGGCTCCTTCGAGTGCTCCTGCCAGGAGGGCTACGAGAAGCGCGGCGACGCGTGCGTCGGTACGTTCGATGTTAACGGTTGAATACTGCTCGCCGGTACGTTTGGTGGGCAAGGATGGAATTCATTACACAACAACGGTTTGGGCGATGACTCAAATACTGTAAAGTAAAGTAACAGCTTATACATGTCCCACTGCTACGCAAAGGCCTCCTCTGCACAGAGGGTATTAGAGCGAAGTCCAGCGCGGTTAAATTGGGGTTTGTCGGAACTCGTATATTTTCAAAAAACATGCAGGTTTCCTCACGACGTTTTCCTTCACTGTTAAGCACGTGATAAGTCAGAACTTGAAATTACATTGTTAATTTCAAGATCCTCTTTTGCACTGGGATTTTTACTGGTGTTTTCAAACCATTAGGGGCTATGAGGGGGGAGGGGTCGGGATATTGTTGCTTAAACGTTACTTGAGATTCTTCTTGCTTGAATATACTATACACATATGTTCGATATCACTCCCCTTTAGACATAAACGAGTGCCACGAGGAGGGCGTGTGCCCCGCGCCGGGCAAGTGCGTGAACCTGCTGGGCTCGTTCCGCTGCGTGTGCCCGCGCGGCTTCCGGCTGGACGTGGCGGGCGAGCGCTGTCTCGACCGCGACGAGTGCGCCGATGGCCGCTGCCAGGCGCCCTGCAGGAACTACGCGGGCGGCTACCGCTGCGAGTGCCCCGCCGGTGAGCTACTATATCAACAATAATAATTGATATAATACACAAATAAATAGGACCCGACCAGACGGGAGTCTTCGTCCGTTTGGTCTTCCCTGCCAAAGGCTTCCGTTTGGTTGAGTCCTGTTTATTTGTGTATTATCACTACGTATTCTAAATAAAAGTCGTCCCGCTGTCTGTCTATCTTGATGCGGTGTTTTTTACTAGATAGAGTGATTGATTTCGAATGGGCTATTTGTTGAGTGCAGTCTATATTGCTCGATATCTCCCTTATGAGTGAATATTCCAACGTCTTTTACCAACGGTTTTACAAATATTTAAGAGCATACATGAGATAAATTTCACATTTTCCATAATTCAAATCATAACTTGAATTATAGATGACGCAACTTTTTGTTCAACCCACAGATAATAGTTTAAGATCGGTCTTTGTCCACGAGAAGTTTACGTTTGTAAAACGTTCTTACAACACAGGATAATGTTATCCTACAGCACGGAAATACTTCGGAGATTTTTTAGACGGGTAACAGAACGTTGCCTGTGCAAAGACAATAATCAATGGGTGTCGGCAGGGTCTGTACGGGGCGCGAACGGAGCTTGCATGCCTACGGACGCGTGCGCAGAGGCGCCCTGTGGGGCCTCGCCCTGCTTCCCCGTGGGCGGCGCGTACCGATGCGGTTGCCCCACCGGCTATGGGTGGGACGCGGGACATGGCGTCTGCCTGCAGGTAAGCACATGAAACACTGTATTCGAAATGGTCACGATAGGCCTCGTAGGAGGGTACATAGATGAAGTTCCTAGATACTCACTTAGTCTTACATTTGCTGATACAACGTATATTTAATAATCACATAGATCAATAATAAACAAGCGAATAAATTTATCTAATATCTCAAAATAATTTGTTTTCATAGTTTATGTGCATTCAAAATCAAAATCATTTATTCATCGTCATAAGAAACATACATTTCATCTATCGATAGTCTTTTTAATCTACCACCGTTTCGTAATGAGGTTCCTCTAACGTAGAAGAAACAGGCGAAAGTAACTCCGCAGGTATCCTCATCGCATATGCTGTATTGATTATTTAATATGTAGGTACATTTGAAGAGTTACTTTTAAATATATTGTTATCCTCATGTCCGAATATTTGATATATGGTATTTGAAAATTGCGCGTCAACAGGGTCAATCAATTTAATTGCGAATTTCCAACTTTATTACACTTTTAGTCATTAATAAGATCGTAAAACATATTTGCGAGATCTAGAGTAAGTTAAAACCGAAACTGTTTAAAATGGGTTTCCGTTAACAGCTCGCCGGCGGCTGCGCGACAGCAAGCTGCCTGTTCGGCTGCACCACTTTCGGCGAGTCGTACCAGTGCGGCTGTCCCGCCGGCTACCAGCTGGTGGGCGCGGGCCACTGTCTCACGGCGCTGGACGGCGCTCTTCCACCGGACGACATTGGAGACGCGCCCGTGTTCCCCGTCAGGGACCAGTACAAAATCGGCGGGAAGAACGAGCTCATCTCCACCGAGGGCTGCTTCAGTTGCAAGGTTCGTGGGCAAAAGCGTGTGTGAAGGTGAAGAAGGCGTCGCAAACGGTGCAGATGCGTTGCCACCTTTTGTTAACGAGGGCTAGTGGCCCCGGCTGCATCACTCACAGGACGAGACGCAAAAGTGTAACACTACCACTTCACGCCAGCCACAACCTAGACGGATCTACCCGTTAGTGCAATGAATTATTCTGACTCTACCACCGTTAATGAAATTGAACTTGTCTTGAATGAATAGCCGAGGTAGTACAACCTTTTCACAGGAGAAAATTGGATGTACTTATGATTTTGTTGTCTCCAAACCGCCCGCCACCTTTAAGTTTGTCAAAATCATCGTAGAGACTTCGGCAATGGATTGGAATTGAAAATGTCTATGGGCGTCCATTGGCGTTAGATACATCCAAAAGATCTGGGAAGAAACTGTGTGTAATATTTGTATGTTTTCATGGTATAGAAACGAGTTCTTGCAATAGTGGGAAAGTTGTAGTTTTGATTTTGAGTATGATTTCGTCTGAAATTCTTTGAAAGAAGATATAACGTATCAAGATGTCTTTCTTGAAGATGTAATTTAATAAAAATTTATATTTTTTATGAACATCTGTGTCAAATGAGGTTTAAAGAAAATTTACTAACCTAATAGGAAACGAAAAGAGTATTTTAATTAATTAATTTATTTATTTAGGATATGGAAGACTTACAGCTATTCAAATCTAACTAACCCTAAACTAGATGACAAACAGCCAATAACAAGCCTTCACTTATAGAAATATTATAGAGAGCAGACAAGTACTGTAGCTGATTAATATTCTCTTACTTCAATATTTGAACCGCTTTTCTTAATTAAAATTTGTAGAAAAAGTACGAAAAGATTGTCGCCGCTGTGGGAATCGAACCCACGTCTTCGGTTCGATTCCCACAGCGGCGACAATCTTTTCGTACTTTTTCTACAAATTTTAATGTTCAATCTTAAGTGCAGAGATTAGCATTAAAAAAAAAAAAATTCGCTTTTCTTAAATCACGTATCTTTTTGTAGATGAACGGCCGTCACAGGAGGGCACCTGAAGAAGGAATCGTATTCGCCAACGGCACGATACATGTCAGAAGGCGTAGGAGGCGCAGTAGACGTAAGACTATATTATTTTCTTATTCTTCTTGTCGATCTGACACACGTTTAAACGAACATTGTTTACCGACTTGCTTAATCACTTACGCATCATTGGTCTTTTTTTTCTCTATTTATCCCTCCCATTCGTCTCCATCATCTTCCTCCTGCCCATATTCCACCTAAGTGAGGTCGGCACAACATGTGAAACGCGTTCCTTGTGGTTTTGGATAGGTTTTTACGACCGCCATGACAGCAATGGGAACAGAAACCCAGATGGAAAAATTATCCATGGGTCTCCCAAGTAGAAGTGTTTCTCAGATTTTCTGTCATAACATATTCCTTGATCCTTCACTAGGTCGCCGTTCTCTGCTGGAGCCGGAAGCGGAACTGATCGTCGTGAAGGCTACCCCTGCTCAGACTTGGGGTAGGGCACCGCTATTGCGCCTCGTTCCGGCCGAGGGCGGCGCCAGGGCCCACTACCGAATCGCGTACGGGGACGACGATAAGGACTTTGTTTTGTCCAAACGTGATGGGGCTTGGGCGTTGAGGTTGAGGAGGCACCTGAAGAAGAAGGCTGTCCTGGAGAAACAGCTGGAGTTGGAAGCCAGGTTCGTCCCGGTCCCCGAAGTGGGGAGGAAGAGGAACCGGAGGCAGGCCGACGTAGAAGTACCGTCTCCTCTCAGGCTGTACGTGTCCATACAGATCGCCCCTCCAAAAGGCTGACAAGGCCCCGATTGGATTAATATTCGAATACCGTTTTGTACATAGTTGTTTAGAACACACTGCCATATAGCGAGTCGGATCACTGCCATTTCTCATCTGTTGTAAACGCCAACAACTGTCATTTTTTGTAATTTTTTAAAGTTGTTTTTTTTTTAATAATAGTAAGTAGGTTTGGAGATTACTTTGAACTGTTTGTCCCATTACACGCGTACGGACGAATTATGCCTTTTTTGATAGGCTGGTTTTGCGATGTGCCATACAATATTTCGAATCGTTGCTTATCTCACTTTCACTGTGTTAAGAATCTGTTTCCTTTTTCCTTATTTCACACGGTCATGAAACACAACGTGTTTGTAGTGAGTATAGTTTTATTCCATTCAAATTTGGAAAAGGCATAGTTTCACAATCTAACAGTTAAATTGATCCAATTATTGGTTGGCTCATCTTTACCGGTTCAAGATCGCGACTCTAAAAATTTGGGGCGGTCTCGTCGGCAGTATTAAATTGTGTGAGAGGATTGAGTGCATAATGCATAGGTTTTATCGAATCGATCGGATAACATCGATGTATTGGACGTAGAGATAATCGTAATCGATATCTATATTACAATTTTTATGATCATTGATATTTATAAAGAGAAAGAAGAATATTAATAGAAGAAAACGATCCCTCGTTTTCCTCGCGATTCCCGTTCTTATTTTATTTCTTTAGACATATAACATTTCTTGGATATTAAGGTGATGTTTGTTAAACTGCATTTTATTTAGATCTTTTATGTGTGGGAGACTATAGTCTATATTTCTGTCTGGCAAACTTAAGGTCCGTGTTATCGAAATAATTTGTCATTGATAAAAAGAGTGCCAGTGCTTAGATATATATAAATGCATAATACATAGCGAATAAGGAAATTATTTATTTTTAATTCCCAATATCAGATGGCAAGACGAATATAAAGCTTACTTATTAATATTTTTGTATTTACCTTTATCATTTATGCTTCTTGACCGTACGTACCGTATTTTGTCAAATCAATGCAAAGGATTTTATTTTGTAAATATGTGTATACAGATTAATATAACTGTGTTTAATAGTTTATAATGTTTAACATAGTTTTTAAACCCAAGCGGAGGATGAAATTAATAAATTTCTAATATAATACATAATTTTGTTTTATTTAATACTACACTCAACACTGTCGGGAATCGGGATAGATACTCCTCAAAAGTATCAACACCACTGTCGGTGCTACTAATGGAAATACTAAATTATTGCTTTAACGTATGAAGGATTTATGTATCTTATACTAAAGATGACGCATGTACATACTGTGCGGCGTTTAAAATTGTTCCGCTTTAGATTTAAATGACATATGTAAGTCACATTGACATGATATAGAACGTATAACATGAAAAGAGATAATCTATATATTATATAAAAATGAATCCCTATTTTCTTTGGTCAAGCCATCACGCGTCAACGGCTGAACCGATTTCACTTTTTTTTTTGTTGTGTTTGTTATTATCAGGAGAAGGTTGCTATGAGAGAAAAAATTAAAAAAATTGCGGGGAAAATTAAAAAAATTAAGAATACTAATACTGTCGTCGTCGCTAAGTGTTTGTGGCATTAATCTTCAAAATCCATGTTTTTCACATGGCCAGTTATATGGCGCCTGTTCCCGTGTCGGAATACGAACAAAAAACCAAGAATATTGTATATCATAAAGCATTAGAATAATAAACACACTTTTTTTAATTAATGATACCAATTCGAATTAAATAGTTATCGTTAAGACAGGACAACGTCTGTCGGGCTAGTAGTCTATACAGTTGCAATGTAATTACAACAATTGGTGTATTTTGAGTGCCTCAGTTTCGATCTGCTAGTGACATAATTATCTACCTCTTATTTGTATATAATATCATTGTTATTCGTTTAAAAATTCCATAGTTATTTAGAATACGGACGTAAGGAAGTACGCCCAAGATTTTTTGATTGAGAAACATAGATAGTACCTTTAGTTCTAATTAAATTATGTTTAAATCTGAAAACTATAATCTAAAGTGTAGTTTAAAGTATGGGGGGTGATTACTATCGGATCCGTCTCGACCTGTCGAAGTTCATAGCTATAAACAGGATGAATATCTTGTAATAAGTAAAAAGTAGTTTGTAGTAGTAAAAAGTTGTAAGTGTAGTTTTCTGTTAGCCCGTCCAAGTTTGTAAGCTTCGTCGGAAGACATCTGCGGGTATAAATGTCACATTGAATTTCTATTCAAAACATTCCTGTTTAAGTTGATTAATTATTAAATGTGATTAGAGACACGTACATGAATTATTATTGACACCCTCCGAGTGCTCTGTAAGTTGAAATCGATTACTATAAAGGAGGTTCCTAGAGTGATGCTCTGTTTTTAGAAGAATTAAATGGCTGCTGTCATTTTAAACGTCACAATGTCATAAATGGTATATTTTCGTCCTATGCTTAGTAAATAATAGTTATCGAAGTAAGGGATCATAAGGGGCTTGTAAGATGTCAAAAAATGCCAAAAAGGAAGAATACTCATGTGAGTTATACAGCAACAAGTTCTTTATGCTTTGCCTCGCTGGTGGGTCCGTCGCGTGTGGAACGACGCATACATTTCTGACCCCCTTGGACCTCGTGAAGTGTCGCCTTCAAGTAGACCCAGCAAAGTATAAATCCATATTCAGGGGCTTCGGCGTGTCATTCCAAGACGGAGGCCTCGCTAACTTGGTCAAAGGCTGGGCGCCGACCCTCTTCGGTTACTCGCTCCAAGGCGCTTTCAAGTTCGCCGGCTACGAGTACTTTAAGTACAAGTTGTACCATATGGTCAACGAGGAAACGGCGTACTTGAATAGAACCTATCTGTACCTCGCCGCTGCCGCGTCCGCCGAAATTGTTGCGGACGTGTTCCTGTCGCCTTTCGAAGCGACCAAGGTCCGTATACAGACTACGCCCGGTTACACTTCGCAGATGCTCAAGGCGATGCCCCACATGATGGCGACGGAGGGCTTCGGCGTCTTCTACAAGGGGATCGTGCCGCTCTGGGGGCGGCAGGTCCCTTACACGATGATGAAGTTCGCGTCGTTCGAGAAGACCGTCGAGTTCCTCTACCAGAATTTAGTCCCCAAGCCCAGAAATGAGTGCACTAAAAGTGAACAGCTTGTAGTGACTTTCAGTGCTGGTTATATAGCGGGTGTACTATGCGCTATAGTCTCCCATCCGGCGGATACTTTAGTGTCTAAATTGAATAAAGATCCGGGCTCTTCAATTGGAGGGCTGATCTCGGAGTTGGGGTTTTTCGGCATATGGCGTGGTCTGGTCGCAAGGATCATCATGATTGGTACTTTGACCGGGCTGCAATGGTTTATTTACGACGCGTTCAAGGTGTATACCGGTATGCCGCGTCCGCCCCCTCCGGAAATGCCCGAATCGCTCAAAAAGAAATTGGAAGGCAAGAAATAGTTTCGGAAGTATTTATATGTAGTGTCAACTCGTTATAGAAATTCAGTCATTTTATATTTTGTACGTGACGTATTAAAGTGATTTTAAAAATCTATACGCCGAGTTGTTTTTCCTTAAGTTAGCCGAAGAGATCGACGCTGTCCCCTTTATACGCGTCACGTCAAAAGACGGGTGAAAAGTTACAGACTTGGAGCGGAGTAACTACAAGGCGATAAAATCACTGGACGCGGAATAAAACTGGAAGTGGTTCCGTTTCCCGCGTGCGATGTTGGGTCCGGCAATAACAATAATATGCGGATTTATCCGGTCATCGTGGCGCCCTCACGAGATCTGCCCTCAACGGGGCAATGCTCCGACCTCGGCCACAGTGTAAATTTTAAAACAGTCGTGTATATTTGCCTTTATTCTACAAGATTTTATTTCATTGCCCTTAATAGAAGAATATAAACTTTAAATTAAATCATACCAAATTGGTACATGTGTTATAGGTACAATTTATTAAATGTCATAAAAGCTTGTCGCGAGATTTGCATATTTAACAGGAGTCATTTTATTTCATAGATTTACTGGTAATCACTCCGTTAAGTCTCGTGGGCCACTTTACAGACCCCGAAATTTATGTCGACTGGGTGGAATGTTTTTATTTGTTGTGGGTGACACATTAATCGAAGTAAAGAAATATTTTCATAAAAAGAGTTTTGATATTCAATAGATTAAACTTATAACAATCAATGATATCTTGATACAAGAAATACAAAAAAAATTGTTTAAGTATTTCAGTGCATAATTTGTACTACTTTACAATATTTTGGGTTTATTTTTGTACTCGTAATTTTTCTATACGCTATGCGCACATATTTTTTATTTTGGTATAGCTATATAAAAAAAAAATGTGCGTAAATTAGCTACCATAGTAGATCTTTTATGTGCCATATATACCATAGTAGCACTAGCATCCTAGTTAAACGCACGCATGAGCACATGCGCGGCCCTACCCACAGCGGAGGGCCCAAACTCGTGGGTTCTGGCTAGCCCACCGGTTCTACATCAGATGAAGCTTTAATAGTCTCGGGACTGAAAGAAAAAAAAAATCATTTAAACAAACACTAGCACGCCACGCTTTCCGTGAGCCGCTTTAGCAGCCTAACCGATCTTGGACGGTAGTTAAAGTGCTCTGCACTCAAGATGAACCATTAAAATTTGTAGAAAAAAGATCACAAAGTTTTTCGCCCCTGCGCGAATCCGAAAGACATGGGTTCGATTATTTCTATTGTATTATTTTCATATTATTTTTTATATTTGGTTAACGTAAGACTGTGGCCAAGCGATTAGGCGGTTCACCCGATGTTAATTGTTTCGCCTATTTACGTCTGCAGCACCAAAAGGGCTGCGTAAGGGTTGCCAATTAAAGATTTTGGGTAATACCTATAATATAATACGTCCAATTCACGCTCGCCTTCTGTAACTTGTATCTTGTATCTTGTATTAACTGATGTTTTTTCTTTCAGTCCCGAGACTATTAAAGCTTCATCGGACGCAGAACCGGTGGGCTAGCCAGAACCCACGGGTTTGGACCCTCCGCTATGGGTAGGGTCACGCATGTGCTCATGCGTGCGTTTAACTACTATGGTGTGTCATCTAAGGGCCGTCGAGGTCGCCGGTTCGGACCGAGACCCCGACGGCCGTCGACTGTGCATTTAGCTAATCGGTGGCTGGGAGCGGTGAGAACCGCCCCGGAACGCGGGTGTACCTTGTGTACGCGTTGTTTGGGTCTCGCCGTGCTCGGAGGCGAGGGCGAACTGGTGTGATTGTTGTTACACTAACTGTGGGTGTAGTGTTATCCGGCGGGACCCCCGGCGGTGGGTCCATCGTATCTAAGTCCTCTTCGTCGACCGGGTCGATGAGGACGTTTCGCGGGCGACGCTTGTTTACGTTCGCGTTTGTGTCCGGTTGGTAGTTTGCTGCGATGCTGGGCTCTATCGAAGAACCGTTTTGTCAAATCTTTAAAATGTGCGCGAATCGTCGGGAGTCTGCAATCGCTGTGCAGGTCGACGTTGCGCTGATACCATTGCGCACCGGTTGCGCGGCGGATAAACTTACTTTGAACTACTTGCAATTTGTTAATGCGCGTAGGATTTATGTGTGCGAAGATCATGCATGCGTAGGACTTGATTGGCCTTACGCAAGCTTTATATAAGAGTAATTTGTGCCTTAAGGGCATTTTACTTTGCTTATTCGTTAAATTGTGTAGCCGGCCGGAGACGAACGCGGCTTTGTTTCGGACTTGATTGATGTGCGTAGTGAAAGTCATACGCGAGTCGAAAGTGACTCCTAAATATTTGACAGTTTTCTCCCAGGGGAGAGTTTGGCCATATAGTGATATTTGCCCCAACTTTCTGTACTGGCGAGGACCTTTGTAACGGTGTGGCGGATGGGGGTTGGGGGTGCTACGAGTGAAGTGAATCGCCACACTTTTTTCTGGATTAATATCGATTCTCCATTTGCGGAACCAATCGCCGAGGCGGTCGGCAGCGCTTTGGAGTCGAGTCGTTAATTGACTGAGGTTGCGGTCTGAGTAAAAGCGCGAGATTGACGTGGGGGTCTCTAGGTATGTCGCTCGTGTAGAGCGTAAATAGCAAGGGTGAGAGGCAGGAGCCTTGTGGTACGCCGGCCGTGAGGCGGCGGCTTGTGGAGAGGGTGCCCTCGACTCGATATCGAAAAGAGCGGTTCAACAAAAAGGCCCGGATGGTGTGTACGAGCCTATCTGGCACTTTGAGTGTGTACAGCTTGTAAAGCAAGTCGTTGTGCCAGACTTTGTCGAATGCTTTTGCGACATCGAAGAAGAGAGCCCCTGTACTAATGTGTTTGGGGTGGTTAAGGCCTTTTAGGATGTGCTCCGTTAGGCGGTATAACTGATCGGGACAAGAGTGTCTAGCTCGAAACCCGAATTGTTCCGTCGGCAGATGGCCGTTGGAAAACACGTGCTCTTTGACCCTGTTTAACAATAGCTGCTCGTAGAGCTTCCCCAGGCAACTGAGGAGGCTGATGGGACGATAGCTAGAGGGCTGATTCGCTGGTTTATTCGGCTTGCGAATGCCGATAACCGTGGCTTGCTTCCAGTCGTCCGGAAAGGAGCAACTGGAGAGAAGGGTATTGAAAATGGTCGCCAGTAAACAGAGAAGCGGCCCAGGGAGAGCTTTGAGAATCTTATTACTTATATTATCTGGGCCCGGGGCGGATTTTGGTTTTAAATTTTTAATAATATCTTGGACCTCTTCGGGGGTCACTGAATTTAAAGGTTCGCCTTCCGGTGGAAGCGCAGCCCTAGTCTCGATTACGCGGTCCACCTCCGTTAGGTGGACTGAATCGGTGCGTTCGCGCGATGGCGTACATTGCTGCTCTAGGTTGTCCGCAAGGCATTCGGCTTTTTCGGAGTCATCTATGGCTACTGAAGCGCTATTAGGTCTAACTAGCGGCGGTAGAGACTCGCGGGGGTCTTCATCAGACTGCGGGCCAACCGCCAGTAGGCGGTGTGCGATGGCTCGATGTCCTCTAGGAGAGTGTCCCACGTTGTGTGTCGGTGTTCCGATACTCGATCTTTGACTTTTAGCTGAAGGCGTCGAAGTAGGGTTCGGTTCGATTCCGATCGGTATCGGTCGAAGGCGCGTTTAGCTGCATTTTTTTGTCTAATTAGCAGTCGTAGGTCGGGCGGAAAGTTAAACCGTCGGTCGCCCGACAGTTTCACCGTCCGTTCCGAGTCTGTGACTGCGGAAGTAATAGTTTCACGGAAACTCGCTATCGCTCGATTTGCGTCATCGAACGTAGCTATCGTCTCGGGTAAGTCTACTAAGTCCTGGGGGTCCAAGGCCTTGAGTTTGATCTCAAGACGATGCCAGTCCACTACGGATTTGGTCGGAGGGACCGCGCCGGCGTTCTGGCCCAGTTTACACAGGACGGGCCTGTGGTCTGAGTCTAGTTCATGGATTGTCTCTATCGACTCGATGTCGAGCGAGACCTCCCTGAATAACATTATGTCTAGGACACTCGGTGACGCGTGCTGGTAGTTGTTCACCGTAGGATACCTAGTGGGAGTCACGGGAGCGACTATACTAAAATTTAGGTTATCGGATAAGCTAAAGAGATGCTTTCCGTTGTTATTTGGGATGCTGTTGGTGTCCTATGAGCCGTGTTTGCAGTTTAGATCTCCTGCAATTATCACGGAAGGGCCTAAGTTAAGAAGCGTGTCTAGGTCGCTTTGAAGTAGGGTTCTATTCCCCGAGAGGTAGGCTGAGACTAGTACAAGCGGCCTGTGGCCGGTGAGCGCTAACCTACACGCGGATGCCTCTATTTGACTTAGCTCTGGAATGTCGAGCGGGCAACAGTGCAAGGACCGTTTATAATAAATGAAGGTAGTGTGCCTCCCAGACGGTTTGCTAGCCGGTCGTGGCGGACAATATTGTAATTTGCGATTCTGGGATCGCGTACACTAGGTTTCAAGAATGTCTCTTGCACTAGGAAAGTGGACACGTGATATTTCTACGTTATAATCGCGAAGGAATTCCGCGATTTCATCCCTTTGACCCTTTATGCCGTTTGCGTTGAAATACGAAACAACCAGAGCCCGAGGTTTTGTTCTACCTGCGGTTGTACTTCCCATTAAGGTTTTTTTATGGGTCTAATTAACGACGCGGCGGAGCGCGGTTTTATTGCGCGGACTAGTGTTTTTTTACGGTTGGCTCGTAAAAGCCCAAAGGGCTTCCACAAGCGTTTTGTGTTGGCTAATTGCCCTGAGACGCTCGTGGCCAGATGTGGCGGCCGCTATTTTAGCGGACAATACGGCGAGTTCCTGCCTATTGATTCTATCAAGTAAGCTGCAAATATTAGCGATTTGCGCGAATGGGTCGTCCTTGTTTTCCGCGAAAACTGACGGAGTTGGCTGCACCTGCGACCGCGGCGCCGTTTGAGAGGCGGGCAGCTGTTGTGCGATCGGTCGTGAGGCAACCGGGATTACCGGCGCGGTTACCTGCGCGGCCACCTGGGGTTTCATCCAGGCGTTTGTGACGGGTACGTATTACGCGCGGGAATGTATTTAACAGATTTTCTCGCGGGAGTTTTCGGGGCCTTAGCGCAGCCTCTATAACTAGCCGGATGGCCGGTAGTGTGACAGTTTACGCAGTCCGGTGGATCTGCGCAATCTTTCGGCTTCGTGCACTCGGTAGTGCCGTGGTCACCGGTGCATTTGACGCACCTTGGGTGAGCGAAGCAGTTATTGGCCGTGTGGCCAAAATGTTGACAGTTGTGGCACTGTGCCACAACACCTGATTTACGTGGGGGCTCGATGACTAAGTCACTGAGCCCACAGACCCTCTTAAGGTTGAAAATGGCCTTACCTTCCGGGGTAGGGTCAAGTTCCACCATGACCATATCCATAGGGACACGGGTGCGAGGGTGCCTGAGACGACGCACGGCGTGAACAGGGTATCCCTGAGTGCGGATGTCGACTTTAGACATATCGACATCCGACTCTTTTGGGACGCCCTTAATTACGACCCGAAGTTTACGCTCTTCGGGTAGTGAGTAGGTGTGGAAACCTACCTTAGCTTCGCGCAAGTATTTTTTTACGCGGCGGAAATCGTCCGAAGAATTGAGGTATACGCGGATACCCATATGCGTATTCCTGGACAGGGGGTCTCGTATGCTATGGCGTTCGAACCATGAACATATCTGATGCCACTTTGCCTTTTCTTGGATTATAATTGGCGGCGGTGGCTTGATTTTTCGCTCGGAGGCGAATGTCGGTTCCGACTGCACAGTCGCGGCTGCCTTTTTGGCGGGCGTCGGGACGGTTTGACGGGGCGGCCTCGCTTTCGTGGTCGCTGTCCGTAGCGGGGCGTTTCTTGCGCGATTTGACGACGGTGAATCCGTCGGCGTTCGCGTTGTTAGCGGGGGTCGTTTCGACCCCCATGTTTGAGCCGCCGTCCGATTGTGAGTCGGGAACGACAGCGCGGAAGGAGGCCGAAATGGTTTGCGCGGAAGGCGCGTTGGGTTCGTTCGCGGCGGCGGAAGTCGACGCGACGGGCGTATCAATTGTCGCAAAGGGCGACTCGATGACTGGCGCAGAGGGCACTGGAGATGGCGGCGAGGTTCAGCCGGTGAAGCCGGACTGTCGCTAGAGAATTCGACGACAAGGCGCCGTTCCCTCGCGAAGCTTAAATATTTTGCCCATACTTCGGGGCATTCCTGCCGAAGGAACTCCTCTAAGAGGGAACCTATGACGACGCTTGTGCCTTTGGGGCTTGCGCCTCGCCGGCGTGTGGTTTACTAAATAGGCCTCCCCACCTTGCGGCAGGGAGGTGTGTGCCTAAAATTAACCTTTAATCGCCTGCGCTTTAGGTGCCAGTGCTTAGGGTAAGTACCTAGCTGTCGCCTAATGCAACAAGCACACAGGTAAAAATTACAATGCCGCCTCTGAGACGAGAAATGTGTGTAGAATTCTACTTACGGACAGGAACTTGCCTACGAGCACAACACTACACTAACACTATCCGCTCGGAAGTCGGGCAAAGTTTCTTCTTTCTTCTATAATGTTTTTTCTTTCTTCTATAATGTTTCTTCTTTCTTCTTGTTTTACACTTCCCAAACCGTAGACCGTGAAACACGACAACGATGAGGCGAACAGTGCACACCAAGAGATAAAAGAATTAAAATTAGCAACAACGGTTGCAAGATGGCTTCCGGGTCGGTTGGCATAGGCCCTCCGGCTCAGAGTAACGTCCGTTCCGTGTGGAAGCACGAAGCGGAATGAAAAAGCCTTCTGTAACGCCGTGGTGCCGAGATAGCCTATTCATGCGCTAGCAGAAGTTGCTACGTGGCCCTACCACAGTAAATATAAAAAAGTTTGTGTGTACTTATGTACGCGCATAAGAAGTTATACTTCTTTGGTGTAACAAAAGAAAAACAAGTTGAATAATAAAACAAAACATCGTTTCAAAAACTGACCTTGGCAAAACATTGAACGCTAGTTTCTATAGATTAAATATACGTATGCATACAAATTTTCAAAAGTAGAGCAAAATTATGAAAGCGCCATCTACATTCTTTATTGAGAACTGACACGGGCGACTGTGATTGAGAATATGCTGTTAACTATAAAAAAAATAGGCGGTTTAGCGGGCAGCTTCAAAGGTGTTACTTTTGTGTTACAGTGATGCGCGCGCATCTAAAAATTTCACTCATAATTTTTTCATAACGTCCCTAAAGAAGTGTAACAACAAAAAAGTTTGGTTTTGCCGACATAACTGCGCTGTGAGACGGCGTTTTCAGAGCGGGCAATGTTTTACAAACCGGGACCGCGATCGCTCTGGATGCCATTTAACATAATCTTAGAACAATTCCGGCGGCTTGTTTCTCCCACTGATGTCCGGCTCGCTCAGTAAGCCGGATGATAGTGAGTTTAGTGGGCTTCAGTTTTATATTTATTGTTGTGAAGCCGGGTAATGTTTTGTGTGAGGGTGTAGCGAACTACGAACATTTGTATTTAACAGAAAGCACTGACTGAAGGAACAATTGGTTTTCAACTGTCACATTAACGCCCGGTTTGTGAAATACTGATTATAGTAGACGTTAACTAATCACCTGTCAAAATGCTTTTCACATATCATTTGAGTTGCCAAAAGGATGGTTAAACTCTCTGAATTGATAAGAATGATCTCCTTAATGATCAGAAACCGGGCGATAGTATCTTTTTCTTTATGTATCACACTAGCTCGGATTTAGTAGTAGTGCTTCATTATTTCTGCATTTTTATACCATCTCTGAAGGCCTCACGGACTTGTGAAAAACGGCTCAAGAAAAACGATTTATTATGTACTTGTATGTCTATTGATTCACCTTCAAAAATTCACAATCAAGCTTAGGGTGACTCATGGTAAAGAAATTAAACCTAACCTACTGCCTACTATTTAATATTAAACGTTCTTTCCTATAAGTGCAAAAAGAAGATTACAATTTTTCGCGACAAAAGCACCACAATATTTACGACAAAACTGATCAGTTCTACAATATTTTTTTTATTATCATAAATGTAAATCATAGTTGCAGAATGATCATATCGTTCCGTAGACCTGAGAAATTTTACCGTGTCTATCGCTTATCATAGAAGAATCGACATATCGATCAATCGGTATGCTAAAAGTCATGTATATACATGTGAAAATAACTGGTCCCAAAAAAACTTAGATAGTTATATATATATATATAAATGACTTACTAATGCATAAAAGAAAATACATAAACGTTGTGCGTACTATTTTATTATATTAGTCCACGTCTCTAATACTGAATTGTTGATTGTTGTCATGGTCTGTACGTATTGACCAAATAAGCATGATGGGGGCTCGTATTGTCATGCGTATAAATTAAACTTGCGCCCATACTAAGAAAGGATGAGCATGGTAATGATCTCTGCTGATGACCGACTCTCTTTTTTATATTAGCAAGCAAGCTGGCGGTTCACCTAACTTGTAAGTGACATCCGATGCCTTTTGACATTGGCAACAGTCGTAGGGCTGCAGATGCGTTGCCACATAGTTGACAAAGGGGGCTTCGGCGACCTCACTCACCTGAGGAAAGTCAGAAGCATAACACCTCAACTTGAAGCCGGTCTTCTGTGAGGTCGTGGTACTTAGACTGATCCGTAGACCTGCCCATTCGTGCAACAGCGAAGACTTGAGTGTATCACAGTTCTGATGATCTTCCAGCCCATACCATTATTGATCCTCCATTGAGTTTTCTTCAAAACATGCTTCTTGATACAGTTCTCATGGTCGTCTGTATTCTACGTCTCCCATCGTGTGTAAGAAAACAAAATCTGCACTCATCGGAAAACATAGTCCTGCACCAGTTTTCATCTGTCCATTAGACGTGCCCTCGAGCAAGCCGGAACCTGGTAACTCGCTGATGTTCCATTTCGTAGTCTACAAGGCTTTATATCAGCTTCACGAAGTCGTAGTTTAACCGTAACTCACTTTGAGTAGAGAATTACTTGAAACCGGTACCGGACCTAAACTGCCGAGTGATGTCGATTTCTTTGCATAGTGCTAACGACCAATCCGTCTTCTCGTAATTGTAGCACCTCGGGCTGCCATTTTCTGCTCTATTAATGTCTCGAGATCGCTGTAGTACTCTTTGAACGATAGATAAATATAACCCTAGTTTTCTAACGGTATTCCGCTTACTTCTTCCTTCTTGTACCATAGTAATCCATTATATTCTTCAGGTGACAGCTAAACACTACATGCTGCTCTACTGCTTATTGTGGGTATTCAAAGAAATTGTTTGTAAGAAAAGTAATGTCAGCTCGACTTAAATAAAAGAACACAACTAAAAATAAAAATAATAAGAATAAAAGAAAACAAACATTCTTGTTCTAATCCTGCAATTTGATATTCTTAAAAATTTCGAATTTTATGTTTTAAGTCGTTACTTAACACACTTGTACAATTTAATCTATTTTCAGGTTCATAATGAGCAACACCAATCTATTCACAACGTACTATTTATAGCGAGAATGATTAATATCACGCTTTTGAATATGTATGAAAATGTTTATCGGTTCGCACAATAATTTCTTGTTTTGTACAATAAGCGTTGTGAAATGAAACTATTGTTCAGATTTAATTGAGTTTGCAATTAATTAATTGCTTATTGTTTCGTTCCTAATCCGTGTAATTGGCGGTAAGCCTATAAACGCTGTTTGTTGTTGGTTTAACTGAGAGCAAAAATCGTGTAAGCATTTTGGAGAGCGATTACTTCGCACGCGCTAGTCGGCATTCGAGTACAAACACCGTTTCGTTGACTGAACATACGAATAGTTTTGCGCTATTGCTTTTATGCTATTATATATTGTATATCAATTTAAAGGTATCAATAATTATTACTCCTTCATGCTATTTGATATAAAATTTACAAAAACTTACATTTATAACGCTAGTTCAGATAGTTTATATATAAATTAATTTATTTTTTTATTTTTTTTATTTTTTATTTTAGTTTATGTTCTTGTGTCCAATATACGGTGATAGGCTTATCACCGATCACATTAAGGATTTAGTAAACCTGGCATGGTGAACTAACATGTAAGATATGTGTTCTTTGATATGTGAGAAGGTTGCAAGCGAGCAGGCGGTTCACATGATGTGAAGTGATAACCGCAGCCCATAGACATTTGCAACACCCGTAGGGTTGCGTTGTCACCTTTTAATAAAGTGGGCCCCGGCTATTTCACTCACAAGACAAAACGTAGAATATATATATATATATATATATATAATATAACGCTTCCACTATCACGCCGGTCTTCTGTGAGGTCGTGGTACTTACCCGGACCTCCCATTCGTGCAACAGCTAAGGTAGTTGCGTACTGCCTTACAAAAGTTTTCCCTTTGAGTTTAAACGGCATGATAGCTCGTGAGTTATTTATTGTACAAATCTCGTTTTATTCCGCTCGCTCTGTCACGGAATACCTGTCTAACGTATAATACACTAGTTGTTAAGCGAGTCCCGGTTGTGTGTAGAATGAATACGGTGGCTGTCAACGCCACCAGGGATTTGGGGATATATTTTAGAGAATTTCCGTAGACAACTGCACATTGCAAAAGCGTTCTTTAGTATGTTTAAATAATAGTTTATATTGTGAAAGTACAATCTTTTAATAAAAAAAAAAATGAATGTTGATAATCCCATAACTTAAGAATGCCTGGACCAATTCGGCTACTTTATTTTTTTGTATGTTCCTTAAGGTCCACGGAAGGTTACTATAAAAAATGAACGAGGTGGACCGGGCAGCTAGTTAATAATATTTTCGTATCCATAAATATTCCACCAAGTACTCATGGACATTTACTATAGAGTTATTTCCCTGTTTGCTAGTTTTTTCGTTGGGATATAAATTTTTTTGCACATCTTACTAAGTAATTTTCTTGTCCCTCCTTTTAAAATCAATATGTACGATAGGACATATGCCAATTGCAAGAGATTTATGTAAATTAATAAAGCTAAAATTAGAAGATTACAAGAGATATTAAAAAGAGATGAGTTAAGAGTTTAAGGAGATTTGCTGCTGTTTAAAAATTTGTTACAAGAAACTGCGCCGTTTGCTTTAGAAATAAAAAAATAAAAAAACAGCGTAAACTTTTGCCGTAGAAAGCATTTTCTTTAAATGAATCATAAAACGAAACGTGGAAACTTCCTTTAAAATAAAAATCTAATCTACTGAAAGCGGGTCTTGGTTCTGTTTTGCTTTCCAACTAAATATTTAAAAAGTGATTCGAGACGATATAACAGAACCCCTTTGTTCTGTTAACGTAAAGCAAATTATGGGTTATTATGTTGTACGGCTCAGTTGTGCTGTGATACATATATAATAATTCTGTCTTTTCTCAGTCATATTTTTTTATGTGAGAAGATGGCAGACGAGCTGGCGGTTCATCTTTAAGTGATAAACGCCGCCCATTGACATTTGCAACACCCGTAGGGTTGCAGATGTGTTGCCACCGTATAATAAGTGGCTCCTGGCTACCTCGCTCACTAGACGATAAGTAGAAGTATAATATTCCACTTCCGCCGGTCTTCTGTGAGGTCGTGGTACTTACCCGGATGGACCTGCCCATTCGTGCAACAGAAGATACTGTTGCGTGGCCCTACCATAGTTACCTATCGTTGGTCTACTCGTAATTTATATTTGTGTTATGTGCTTTGTGCTCGACTCCCAGTGCCACATGGCGGTGAGCGCAACCTGACAGTACCTAAGTGTGATTAGATCATGTTTTTGTGTAAATGTGATACCGCAATAAATGCTACTAGATGTGTTTAGTTTTTTTTTAAAGATAGTTTATATTAAAGTTAAGGTATAGGTACAACCTATATGGTACAGTCTTCACACACACACGAATGCACGCACGCCATACACGCACACACTCAAATACACACACTTGTTAATTTTTTATTCTCTTTCCTAAACATTATTTTTACTAATAAGTACTCTATTAAAAAACTTTTAGCACCTGTATTACATTCTATTTGTTCCTAATGTTTGTAAAACCCCTGTATAAGTAAATAAACATTGTTTTTTTTTTTAATTACTCTTACATTATATTAATCGGCCACGAGACGTAATTGCGCTTTGGAAATCTTCAAGTATCATCATACTTTTCATTATTTCGCATATAATTGCATAGTATATTATGTGCTCGCAGATAGGTACATTAATCGCAGTTTGCACATTCATCCATGACAGAGGTTGGCAACAATCACAGTTCTCCTTACAATTGTCCTTAACTCTATCATGGACGGGCGAAATCATTGATAAAATTGCATTTAACAATTTTATTTGCCCCGCCATCGTAATTTGGACTTATGTCGATTGATAACGTTGAATTAAAAAGCTAGCTCCCAGATATTGAGCTACACTGCATACTATTATAAATGCATACTATTATAAATTAAACGCATTCAAATAGTATGTAAATAATCATAATAATGAGATTCATTATAACTAAGCTAACACGATTAGTTAGAACAGCTTTAAACTGTGTAAGTTGATATATTATGTCGAATATAAGTTAATATTTAAAGGCGGCGATGCATCCGTGACCCTACGGGTTTTGGAAATGTTCATGGGTACCGGTTACTTCTGCATCTAGTGAAACTTCAGCTCGCTTGCCATCTTCAACATAGCGTGAAACTGTCTGTCTGTCCCTATATGTATATGCTTAGATTTTAAAACTGCGCAACGATTTTGTTTATTTTTTTTAAACATTGCCCTCACTTTAGGATAACATTATCCTGTGTTGTAAGGACGTTTTACAAACATCAATTGCACGAGGACAAATACCAAGATGCGAGACAACTATCTGTGGGTCGCACAAATAGTTGTCCCGTGTGGGAATCGAACCTAGGACCCCCGACGCCGAAGAGTATACCTTGGCAACTGCGTCACGGAATCATCATTTTGACGCGCGGATTTCTTTAATAGATAGAGTGATTCAAGAGGAAGGTTTATATTAATAATTCAAGCATAGTAGAGATACACTGCTAATTTTAGATGTTTCTAATGCGATGCCGAAAACAAACATTCAGCATTGCACCCGTGCGAAGCCGGGGCGGGTCGCTAGTCTTACATAAAAAAAGTTTGCATAGTAGGTGCTTCAGTTTTTAATTAAAAAAATATCTACCGTTTATAAATAAAATAGCAGTAATTACTTGATCTATTGTTTGGTTACAAATAAAGGGGAAACGAATCTCCTCTCCAGTTCGGAACACTTTCTACATAATTCCAAAAGCGTTCATGTAAGCTCCGAGTTTACGGCAACCACCTATTGTGTTCCAGGAGACGTCAGCTCGGCAACCCGATTCTGCGATTCCATTATATTTCAAAATTAGAGAGAGCTCCCCTGGCCGCCGGGAGATCGGGCCTTCGATACGCTCCTCGAAACTGGGAGATAACGAATATGAAATTGGATAGGTGTGTTGCGTAGTTTGTGAGATAACACATTTGTCGGTATCGCGTTTTACGCGTGTTTATTATGTTGCTTCATTACGAACGTTATTAATGCTGTTATTAATGCAGTCACAAGTGTCACCATTATGTAAATTAACCGCGATTTATTAACCGACTTCAAAAAGGAGGAGGTTTTTTCCAATTCGACCGCATATATTTTTTTTATGTGTGTTCGCGGATAACTTCGTCGTTTATGAACCAATTTGGATGATTCTTTTTTGTTGGAAAGGAGATATCCCAAGGGTGGTGGTGCCATGGTAAGGAAACCCAGTCTGATGATGGCATCCCAGAAAATCGAGGGCAACCCTCAAATGTTATAACTATTAACAATGTTTTATAATTTCAAATGTATAATAATTTTTTTGTTATAATTATATTATATACACATATACAGGGTGCCTTTTCTAAGTGTATCCATTTTTTTATTAAATTCTACACATAAATAATGTTATATAAAAAATTATGAACTTTTCTCAAAAAGTGCGTCATTTAAACGCAACTCATTTATTTTACGCGCGATCATTCATAACTAACACGCACACAAGTTCGTGCACAGTAATATTTAGGTATTTATGAATGACTACCGCATTGTCAACACGTTCTGTTTTTAAGGAATAGAATGGAATTTTTTTTTCGGAAAAACCTTTGTTTTTTATTTCAATAAACGATTATACTACCGAGTCTGAACCTCCTGTGTAAATCTGGGCACTTCTCAAAAAATCTCCCTGTATATGTATAGTTTTGGGTGAATAATATATGATTTCGAGGAAGATGCATTATGAACGTTTTTAACAAGATAATCAAATATTCAAATTTGTAGAAGAAATGTACGAAAAGTTCATCACCGCTGCTAATTAAGCTAAGCCGTCCCTGCACTCATTTTTTTTTCAGAAACGTTCACGAGTCGTCTTACATAAAATTAATGTCAGAGGAACATTTAACAAGCGATCTATCAAAACTTCGATACGTAATAAAAAGGGTGGCCGATGCCAAATAACTTGCCAGCAGTTAAATAGACGGGGCCGCCGCCCAGTTTCACCGACTCTTATGATTTCACAAACTGCATTGGAACAACGCCAGCGTTGCCTGCAAACGGGTTACGTGACGTCACGCAGGAGTCCGTGCAACTGGATGGGATTTCGAATCGCGACGTACATGTGTCGGGATAAGCCCGCGACATAATACAAGTAACATTAGGATAAACAGCTTTACAGTCCCAGCGCTGAGCGACACAAAGGTTGCTCATCCGGAATGAGCAGGATTCTAGTGACGGAGCAACACAAAAATATTTGTAACGGCTGTTTAATGGGTTTCCAACAAGTACAGGAACGTCAATGACCTTGAAAGACCGCGATCTAACACTTCAACTGTCATTCGAAAAGTACGGTTTGCAAAGTACTTATATTAATTCTATACTATTAAAATTTTAAAATAAATAATTTTTAGAATAATTTAAAACTGATTTTGTTTTTGATTTTCATTAATCTTTATAACAGCATGTAATAAAATGCGTATTTTCCTTTGAAGTAATACTTGAATGAATCTCTTAAAAGCCTACATAAATAGGCGTTCCATTTTATAGGAGAAAGCAGCAGTGGCGAAAATGACGGTTACGACTACTCAGATAGTGATGCGAAAAAAGAGCGGAATTGCAGTGCTAGACTCCGATTAAAGCTTTTTATAGCATGCATCAAATACTAAATTTAGACATTAAAATATGTAGACAAAGTACGAAAAGATCGTCGCCGCTGTGGGAATCGATTCTATATTTCTATTAGATATAAGAATGCATTAAATTTATTGGCTACTTCAAAAAGGTTTCAGAAAAATTTCTTTTATTTATGTGTTAAGTACATTTTATGTAGGAAAACCATTTTACCGATATTATCGAATATGATGTTTTTGCTTTTGACCTCGTCCCATTAGATTGTCAGGTAATGTTTAAATAATTTTCGCAGGGATGTGAACCGCATAGCTTAGTGTCAAAATCTTGGTAGCGACGAAAAATTTTGCGAGTTTTATTTATAAATTTTTATGTTCAGAAATTTCTTGGATAAGTCTTCTTCAATATTATGATGGAAAATGTACTCATCTTCATCATTGAGAATTAACGAATATGTTTTTAAAATAAGATCTTAATTATTTTATTATCTGAAGAGTTTAAAAATCATTAGGCGTAATTTAAATAATATTTAACGCACACTCCGGATTACCTCCATTAATTAAGACTTCGGAATTTTACCTTAACAAAGGTTGGATGCTTCCACACTTTATTAGGTGAAATTCTTCAAATATTTATAAAGTCTGTCTCTTTTATTAAATCAGGGCACTGGTGAAGAATATAAATTTTGTATCAACAACTTTAAACGACTATCAGAACGAGGTCTTTTATATAAAGAAATAAATTTGTTTTCGTTAATATTTTCTTTACCCCCACTAGATGGAGCGACGAACTCTCTGAATTGATCATTCCGATCATTGTTATCAATTCAGAGAGTTTAACCATCATTTTGGCAGCTCAAATGAAATTTGAAAAGCCATTTGACAGTTGATAAGTTAACATCTACGATGATCAGTGTTTCAGAAACCGGGCGTTAGTCTGTTCCGTAAACTTGGATACGTATATCTAGTAAGGTATACGAAACATAGGGAATTTAAGAAACTTAAAAACGTCATTCGTTCAGGTGTAACGCCTGCTCGCTTGACAACTTTTCATTTAAAAAAAATACATAGATAATACGCGTATGTTATATTATGGCTTAGTAATCACGGTTATAAACATCATCATTAGAAGCCATATCTAACGCAAAGTTGGCATTTATATACAAGCACTCATATTGCACGAACATAGTTTTAGTGAGAAACTGGCAAATGATCACCTTCTTCGAAAAACATTAACAAAACCAGTTGCATGTTCATGGTAGCGTTAACAATGTTTACACTGCTACGAACCTGCAACTGCAATAAGATGAATGTTCAACGGTACTTAGTCGCATATCCGATGCCCTAGCCTCTAAGCTATCGTTAACTTAACGCAAAAATAATACACGACTAATTTTAAGTTTAAACTTAAGCGCAGCTACGAGCACAAATTAAAAATAAAATTTTAATAGCAAAGACGACAACTCTCTTCTATTATTCATTGTAAAATTCCCCTAGAGAAAGTAGCGCCATCTAGTATGCTTTCTTTACATCAAATGGTTATGGTAAAATATGCCACAAGCACACTAGATAGCGCCATTTGCTATCATAAGCTATCGCCATAACTACAATAAATAAATGGTATATACTCGAACGTCGCGATTTTCTCGCGTTGATTATATTTATTGCTTAGCTTAGAGGCTAGGGCGACTATGCACGTTACGCGGAAGGCGCTGGTTAAATCATTTTCAAGTTAAAATCCGACAGGTGCAGTCGATATTAAGCCTGTATCTTGAACCAGAGGCGTATGAAAATGTTTTCTAGCCTTTTTCTATTGTCTGTGTACGTATATCCATAATCTGTATTCATTTGCAAAAGAAAAGTATGCCTATCTGTTACCTAACACCTCGGTAGTTTTGCTTAGTAGCGGGATATCGTGGAAAAGTATTTCTTGGGACATTTACTGATTTATCCATTATGTATAATTTACCTTTACAACGTAGAATAATAAGACTTCTTTTAGCGTAAATAGTACAAGGTATGTGTACCCGCTCACCATTGCGGGATGTGATGTCGGTGATATCAAATTCCGGGTTAGCCCAACACGTTAGTTGGTGTTGAGGCGAAAAAAATGAGTTTTGGAAATATCCCGCTTCAGTGTTTGCGTGGAACGCGGAGCACGAAGCGAGGGTGCGTATTATGTCAATTCTATGGGAACGGTGGTGATTATAGATTGATTAATGCACCGTACGATGAATGCGTGAGCCATTCGTAAATAGATAAAGGGAATATATTCTTTAAATAATAATATAGGGTACTGATCGACTTCACTCCGTTCAAACATTATTTCACTTCTGTAGAAAATTATTGAATTGATGAGCCGTAGTATAATGACCCTGAAGTTTATGGACACAGTGTGTTTTTTTCAATAGTGATGCGATGTGCTAATTATCTTCGAGATGCTTTGAGCACGTTGATGAAAATCAAAATCCATAACAAATATTAAGTTGTATATTTTAATTCGTAAATAATAATTATCGATATGTAATTAAGGTTAAATATTTAGATGAAATTTAAATAAAGCAACTAAATCAACCAAAATAGCCAATAAATTTTTTAAATTAGGGACTGTCATCGGACACTAACGCACAATAACTGGAATCATTATTTCAATATACCCTATCGTTTTTATATACCAATTTATCGATAGCTAATTCATAAATAAAGACGATGTTTTTCAGAAATCGCATTAGGACATCACTACTTGAGCTTTCATAAGTTAAATAAATTGTTGGACGGACTATAAAATACTTGTACTTTTTTACTATGCTACACGCACGTACCACCTTTATAGGTTTTGTGTTGCGTTTTTTTGTGTATTAATGTACATACCTTACAGATAAAATAACCTAAAAACTGTTTCATATTCGAGTAATGTCAAGAGCGATATCTGATAATGTTTCAAGGCTCCAGTGGGCTAATACCTGATATTTTTTAATGTGAAAAGTTGTCAAGCGAGCAGACGGTTCACCTGATGTTAAGTGAATACCGCAGCCCATGGACATCTGCTACACCCTAGGGTTCCAGATGCGTTGAAACCTCATTCACCACTCCTTCCACTTTACGCCGGTTTTCTGTGAGGTCGTGGTATTTACCTGGACGGGCCTGCCCATTCGTGCAACAGCCGAGGCTGCTGCGTGGCCCTAAAAAAAAGTAAAAAAAAAACCGTAATATCAATAAGCATGATGTCAATAAGCATCTCAAAAATTGAAGAGATCCCGCTCTATGAAATTGTAGTCACGTTTATTCTGTAAAGATGTCCAAGTTGTTAAACTTTAGTAGGAGATCCTTATCTAAGTACAAAACTTGATTCAAATAATAATAGACATGTTCAAAGTACAGAAAACTTATATATGTATGTTTATGTATGAATTGCTGTTATAAAGTTATAAGGTAGAATCTAAATTAAAGTTTCAATTGTTTAACTGAGTTAATGCTCGTTTCGTCCGTTCACGAAAGATGTTGTGGAAATATTCTTCAAATTTATAACTCTTTGGAATGGTTACATAGAATTACGTTTTAAATTATTTTAATATCTAATTTTTACTATCATAATGAGTATAAATATAGCACTGTTATATTTCTCGGTAATATACGACTTTAACGAAATGTGGAAGTTACAATCAGTAGTCACTAGGTTTATAAGGTATTTGTGCATATGTTAATTTCATAATATAATAAAATAATATTAAGGAAAGAATAGGAATGGCTTAAGATGCGTGCCTCGAAATGAATTCGGGTTCGAACCTCAAACCGATCGAATGATAAATACTTTCCGATTGTTTGGCAAGCAAGCCCGTCACCCGATGTTAAATGATAACCGCCGCCCATGGACATTTGCAACACCCGTAGGGTTGCATGCGTTGCCACTTTTTAATAAAGTAGGCTCCGGTTATCTTGCTCACCAGACGAAACACAGAAGTATAACTTCTACTTCACGCCAGTCTAGTTTCCTAGTACCACGTCCTCACTTCTGTGAGGCGGAAAACGAGAAAAATAGTAAGCAATTACTACCGCCCATGGAATTCAGTCCTGTTATATCCAAGAACTAAGATGTAAACTGTGAAAGAAGTTATTTTAGTGATATCGCGCCATATTTAGGTTTAAGTTAGCATATGGGGCATTCCACGCGAAGCGGACAGGTAAAAAAAGTTGATGTTTCTTATTATACTGTAAAAATATTTTGTATCTGGATTGAGGACACATATAGGTATAACATAATCAAATATTACTAAAATCGGAAACATCAACTTTTTTTACCTGTCCGCTTCGCGTCGAATGCCTCATATATTA